CCCGCCTTTATTGGCGTCGTTGGCCGGAAGGTGATGTCAGAGCCGTCTGTGACGTCAGAGCTGCGGCGGGCCGCATCACCAGGCGCCAGTGGTTACGGAAAATTGCCATCATCACGAGTCTTTCTGGCAGGGTCAGGTGTGCTGGTGGAGTCTTTGTAAACGGGACACGATCCACCTGGTGCTTTCTGATGAGCTGTATGCGGTGATGGTCACCAGTCACCGTGCAAAATAAATGATCAGCAGTGGCACATCCAAGATAGACCTCCTCAACTCATGTACATGCCCAGTGGTGAGCTAAAGGTATCGTCAACTGAAACACGTGTTGGTACATCGCGCGTATTTATTCATTACTCAACAGCGATAAGCAGCCTTTTACAGGTGATGCTGGTTAGTTTGCCAGCTGTCATCGGACATGCACATGTCGCTACTTTTTATGCGGTTTCTACTCAACATTTAAATTATCTCTGGGCCGTCTGTATGCGTCCGTTTTATACTCAGAATCTCTGCCATCCTTTGGTGTTTTCAATGCAGATAACTCCTGCAGCGTCGGTGGCTAAGAATGCGCATAATAGATATAACCACGCAAGTGCGACTCATCAGTCTTTAATAAACATTGGGAAACTCGTGTAAACGGCTCCCGTTCCATGCGGACAAATTGCCTGCCTTGCATCGGTATAAAAAACTAGGCAGCCTCGCGCCTCACCTCGTACAGTTACCCGATGACAGAATAGTTGCCGATGCGTATCAAACACAGCGGGCGTCGCCTTATCCGCTCTCACCGCGGAGCCGTCAACACAGGCCGCTTGGGCGGGCAAGGACGAAGCCGCAAATAAATAGTGGAAACAAGAGAGAGCAAGCACACAATTCCCGAGAGCCTCGCAACAGAAACATGAAACTTTTGGTAGGGTAAACCCATGCATTGGTGCCATCAGCAAAATGCGGTGCAGTGTCCGTGCCTTTTGCACTGTACTGTGTGCCGTCATAGCTGAGAAAGGAAAATTACCCGTTGACGCGCATGAGCTTTCAATATTGAACTAACTGGGGAGTTCGATACTCACGCTTTCAAGACATATTTTTGCAGCAAGAATATCTTTATAATCTTGCGTGCACTGATCACGATGCTTTTTTGTTTACTTGCGTGTAGTATCATGACCTTTGGATACCTCCTAGACTAATCAAGATATCGTATTATTATCCGCGCTCTTCCTCTTACCGCCCATCTGCCTGTTTCAGATGGTTTTGGCGTGTGTCGCGGCCAGCGGTGCCCAGTATATGAACAGGCTGGGTTGGAATGGAATCAACGGCTGGAACTCGGGACTGGCAAGCCCCATCATGCGCTCTGGCATGATCACTAACATGAACACCATGGCCGCTCCCATGATGGGAACTACGATGATGAGGACCATGGCTGCGCCCATGATGAGGACCATGGCCGCCCCCATGATGAGGACCATGGCCGCCCCCCTGATGAGAACCATGGCCGCCCCCATGATGAGGACCATGGCCGCCCCCATGATGAGAACCATGGCCGCCCCCATGATGAAGACCATGGCCGCTCCCATGATGAGAACCATGGCCGCCCCCCTGATGAGAAGCGGCATGATGGGTAACTTCGCCCGCCCCATGACGGCGGCGCCCGTTGGTCACGCCTTCGGCTACAACGACGGCTTTTCGGCCCGGTCGGAGAAGTCCTTGCTGGGGGTGACCAGCGGCTCCTACAGCTACGTCGACGCCGCCGGCAAGGTGCAGACGGTGCGCTACAAGGCCGACGCCAACGGCTTCAAGGCCGAAGGCACCAACCTGCCCGTGATGAACATGGCCGCACCGCTGCCAGTCGACGACACGCCCGAGGTCAAGGCCGCCAAGGCAGAGTTCATGGCCAAGTTTAGGGCAGCTGAGGCTGGCGCCCGGAGGAGGCGCTCCATCGCCTTCGGTCTGGGCTACACCCCAGCCTCCACGGCCCCGATGATGGCCGCTGTGCCCCTGGTCGCTCCGGTGCGGTCCACCCTTGGACTGGGTCTTCTCGGATGGTAAAATGCAAGCGTCAGCATCCGACGCATTTTTATAGGAGTAGAAGAACGTTTATCATGAAACGTATGCAGACGTTTGTTTCATGTGATTTGCATGCATAGCCACGAAATACACATGATGAGAAAAATGATGGTGTCGTAAAACGCCTACTACGATTTGATCGATTCAATACCCATCCGCTTAATCAATTCAATCTCTGATCTCCAGCGAGGTCCTCCGCTGGCCTGGGCCTCCCCGGGTGGTCCGGTTAGAGAGGCTGCGCCGTCCTGCCCGCCCATCTCCCTCTACCGCCGGATCACAACGCTCTAATATTGAATTGTACCAGTAATTATTTACCTCTCACACGTTGGAACGGCGCATCAGCAACGAACACAGCCGTTTCCATCTATGACAATTTGTGAATGCAGATATAGAGGCACAGTCAGTGGATTAAACACGACCAACACGTTATTTTATTTTCCACTGGAGTAGGCGATGTACAAATGGCGACCGACAAGTAGGCCAAGCTGCACAAATGGCGACCGACAAAACATATCAAAATCGTGCATGACTAGATAATGAATGTTGAGGATGGCATCCAAGCCCCGGGTCCAGGCAAATCTTAAATGTGGAGGTGTAGGGCCCCCATGGAAGGACTCTTTCCAGGCGGCCAGGCGCGCAGAAAATGGCCATACTGAAGGTGGAGACCCAGAGCAGAAGGTGTGTAGCCAGAAGAGAACATTAGACACTGCCATACCCTCTGGCTGCTCAGTAAGCCCAGTCTGATCATCCTAGGGCCGTCGCATCATCCAGGAGGACCATACTGGTAACCATGACACCCTGGCTCCTTTAGCCACCTGGGGGCTGTTTAGCATTCTGAAGTTCCTTCTGGACAGGAGGTACTTTGGACCCAATCAGGACTTTCGACCGCGGAAGTACCGCATTAACCTGTCAGGGCCTACGTGTGCTCAGTGCACCCCAGAAGCTGCCTACACATACACAGATTGAGGTGATCAGTGTAGATGTGTGACCTACGTGCGTATGCAGCATATCAAACTTTCGTTGGTCAGAATTCGGATACCATGGCCCAAACTCCTAAAATTTGATACAATTGTCACTTTCCACGTAAATGTTCTATGCGCATGGCGTGAGTTAACTGACCATGTCATATGCCTTCCCAAATATCAGCGTTAAAACGTTTTGCATTTATGCACAGCGGAAACAGTGAAGAAAGTGACGCAACGGCCAGATCTTCCGCTTGGCAAGCAGACGGGGAGCGGGCTTCTCGCGGTCACCACTGGTCTTCTGCTTGGCCAGCAGACGGGGAGCGGGCCTCTCACGGTCACCTCTGGTCTTGTCCGCCCGGACGGCATGGCAGCTGCGGGGCGTGTGACCTTTGCCATTCGTGCCGCTGTTTCGAACGCGGTAAATGTCGGTCGGCCGCAATGGCCTTTGATGAACAAGACCACACGGGCGATGCCGCCGTCCGTGCGTCCGTTTGCCGAGGTTTCTGTGCTGCACATAGCACCCCACCTATATATGCCGCATGGTGCCTTGCTATCCACATAGCTGTCCGGAACTCCTCAATGTTCCCAAGTTGTGAAAGCAATACGATTCGCCCTACTCGTCGAATAAGTAGCAGAAAAAGAGAGAGACATTGCAATTTCGGCCATTAGGCGTTGTCGAAACGATTGTGAGTAGATAACGCTCACAACTTTCAGCTTAAATTGTCTCGACAAAAGCTTGCAGCCGATGTTTCAATAGATCTCTTTTTTCCTACTTGCTCAACGAAAAACAGGCCAATGACGCTGCTTTTATTTATGCGAAGTATTATTCGTACATGGACTGAACAACTTACGTCATTAACCAGCTTATTCGAACTCAATATGCCGACGTTACGTGAAACGCTATAAAAGTCGGCTTTCAGTCCTAACCATTAGTATCATGAGCGTCCGTTTATCTCCGCCGTACCTCTGACGCACACCACCAAGGCCAACCACGAACGCACCTGAGGTACGATGGCATTCAGCTGATTCAGTTTGTTTTGAGCCAACGAGGGCCCGTCTTGGGGTCTTCGAAGTCTGAAGTCGCGCCTTTCCCAGCAAGGTGTCGGACCCTTGCTCGGTCCGGTATCGGGCCCGTGCTTAGTCTGCCGTTGGACCCGTGCTTGGTCCGGTGCCGAGCCCGTGCTTGGTCCGGCGTCGGGCAGTCCGGTGTCGGGTCCGTGCTTAGTCCAGCGTCGGGCCCGTGCTCAGTCCAGCGTCGGGCCCGTGCTCAGTCCGGTGTCGGGTCTGTGCTCAGTCCGGTGTCGGGCCCGTGCTCAGTCCAGCGTCGGGCCCGTGCTCAGTCCGGTGTCGGGTCCGTGCTCAGTCCAGCGTCGGGCCCGTGCTCAGTCCAGCGTCGGGCCCGTGCTCAGTCCGGTGTCGGGTCTGTGCTCAGTCCGGTGTTGGGCCCGTGCTCAGTCCGGTGTCGGGCCCGTGCTCAGTCCAGCGTCGGGCTCGTGCTCAGTCCGGTGTCGAGTCCGTGCTCAGTCCAGCGTTGGGCCCGTGCTCAGTCCAGCGTCGGGCGCGTGCTCAGTCCGGTGTCGGGTCTGTGCTCAGTCCGGTGTTGGGCCCGTGCTCAGTCCGGTGTCGGGCCCGTGCTCAGTCCAGCGTCGGGCTCGTGCTCAGTCCGGTGTCGAGTCCGTGCTCAGTCCAGCGTCGGGCCCGTGCTCAGTCCAGTGTCGGGCCCGTGCTCAGTCCGGTATCGGGCCCGTGCTCAGTCCGGTGTCGGGCCCGTGCTCAGCCCCGCAACGGGCCGGTGTTTGGTTCGGTGTCGGACCCGTGTTTGGTCCGCCGTCGGGCCCTTGCTTGGTCCGGCGTCGGGCCCGTCGGCCGGGCGGGGTCTGGCCGGCCGGTGCGGGGCCTGGCCGAGCCGGAGCCGGCCGTCGCCAGCCGGGGGCGTCTGACAGTCGCGGTCAGTCGCCAGGCCGTCGGCAGTGGTGACCGAGCGGCGGGCGGCGGCGGCGACCGTGCGGTCGGCGCCACTGGTGACGCGTACCATGTGGCGGACGGCCGCCGCGCTGCTGCTGCTGCTGGCCGCGCCGGCGGCCGGCGTGCGCCACATCCGCATCCTGCAGCCCGTCCGCAAGATGCGTAGCTCGCTTCTTTGGCTGCGGCACGAGGACGCCGCGCTGTCGGGGCGTCGGTCGCCCCGCGCGCTGGCACTGCGACCGGTGTTGCGCGGCCGGACGGCGCTGCGCGGCCCCGGCGGCTGGACGCTGGGCCGCGCCGCTCTTACCGTCTCCACGGCGCCGGACCGCTCGTCCGATGCCGATGCCGGGTGGCTGAGGCCGCGTGCACCGGCGGCCGCCTGGATACGGCCGCCGCTCCGCCGCACTCGTCACCCGCAGCCGCTCCGACGACCCCATCACCGGCCGCTGTGGCTGCCCAGCCGGCCGCCGCTGCGACTCAAGCCGGCGGACATCTGGAGTAGTCACGCGTTCCAGCCGTTACCGGAGGAGCTGACGGAGAAAGTTAGGTGTAGCGCTATTGGGTCACGTTTCTTTTTCTCTTTCTAGGTGATCACCCCACTTATCCACTTCTTGTTCTCTCCTTCAAATGTGTTATCTACAAAACTATCGTTTGCCATTTAAAAGCCCACAAAGATGCAGCATTCTCCATGGATGCTCCATAACCGTGTTCGGTGTCTAAACCTCCACCCGGTGATATGCCCTCACGTTTTTTTAGAATTGCACGAAAACATCCGGAAGCAGGTTCATAGCATTTCTCAGCTCCTCTTAATGCATTGACGCAATATAAGAATTCGAGTCGACGTCGCAAGTCATTGGCTTTAGTTAACCTGATGTCACACCCTCTCTCTCTCCCTTCCATTTTCATTTCCAAAGCTTTACGGGAAACTAGTAAGTCTGATAGAAAATTATTGGACACAAAAATATGTGAAATCGAATAAAAAATGTTTTCAGACCGAACGGAATTCCAAAGGAAATGCCCAAAGTAAGGCAGAAACGGAAATCATCTTCATTACTGCTTTTCTAATGAGTAGGCTGTTGTTTCTCACAAACTTACATATAAACGGTTTGATAAATGTTTGGCAGTGCTTCAGACGCCGTTCAAGTTATGTAAAACACAATGACCACCTGGATAGTCCTTATTGGAACCGACATCAAATAGAATTAGGGACCGCCCATAAATGATGTCACGCATGGAGGGGGGGGGGGGAGGGGGGCAAAAGGAAGGCGCAACAAGAAAGGTGGGAGGTTTGGGACAGCGTAACGTTACACACAGGTGTGATAACCGATCGGACTAAAATATGTTGAAACAACATGAAGCCTCCACTACACTGTAAACCAGCACAAAACAAAGAATGCAATATTTAAGTTGCATGGGCTTTGTTTGCACTGGAAACTGTTTCGCATCATGCAAATTGCTCACTCGGGGAAACTGATGCGCAAAACTTTTCGGTAGCTTCAACACTGTCTCACAATGTTTGCCTTACCCCTTGACGCTGTTTAAACGTTACATACGCACTTGTAACTTTGCATGAGCGTTCATATACAACACATTTAGTCACAATTTTGTTGAATTTACTCTTTGTCTTAACTCCCCTAGCTGATATTGGAAGGTCGTGATCGCCGAGCTCATCGTCTTCCCAAGTCATTCCCGCTCTTGGCTTTACCTGCCGGATGTGCGGGTGTTTTACGGAGTTCTCATTACCTGCATATCTTACGCCGACCTTTCCGAACCCACAGATACAGCAAAAGCGGGACGGCTGTTCAAACGAGCTTTCTCAGGAAACAAACACAGAGGTGAGCCCTGACAAAAGCGGGACGGTTATTCAAACGAGATTTCTCAAGAGACAAACACAAAGGTGAGCCCTGACAAAAGCGGGACGGCTGTTCAAACGAGCTTTCTCAGGAGACAAACACAGAGGTGAGCCCTGACAACATCTCACTGTGAATCGTTTTGGAAACACTGCATCTAAGCATGTGCGTAGATATGGTGCACATAATATACATCATACCTATGTATGCATACCGAACCGGGCAGCCCCACAGCCATCCATACTAAAGACCTGACCTTTTACGGACTCATGAACTTTTCGAAACCGATGCCAGGTGGATTGATTCATTTCACCGATGAATCAGACCCAGACTCGCCGTAAACAGCTCACTCATCGCAGAGTAAACGCGACGAGGAGGAGCGTACGCCAGTGCATGGCTGAGAATCTACTTATCAGTGTGGCTATTAAGATACCTAAGTTATTCAGGTCAATACGTGTTTACCGTAGGGAAGACTAAGAGGCAATTAACCTTAAATCTATACGACGCACGCTAATCTTGGGTCAGAGAGCCATTATATGGGGTAAGCGCGACTTATATGTTTTGTATATGTTGCTGAATGAGACTGTATGCTTGATAAACATATAAATCAGAGTAATTTCATAACGTCCCAGAACATGCTAAAGTAGTCTGAACGGTGTATTGCGTGAGGGGTAAGTACATATGCCGCATGCGACACAAAGTATTTGGCGGCTGCAACCCAAGGATTTCGGTGTGATGGGACTTTTTTCCAAGGTACCGGGTGATGCCTGTTGAATCAGCTGTGCATGGGGCACGTTGTATCAGAGAAGCAATGTAGGTCCAACAATATCATTTGCCAGTTTCCTTGCAGCGATTAACTGATATGATTGTCATGAACTATTGTCATTCAGATAATAAGTAGCGATTAACATTGCCTTTGTACACTCATAATTCCTACCTGCGCCACCAAAACCAAGGTGGCTGTAAATTTTAAAAAGCTGGCTCATTTAAAAGGACAGGAATTTGTTACGTTTCAAATACGACGAATTACGAAATAACAAAGACGAATGTGTGCTGTTGGATGTTGCAACATGTTTAGCTTGTTTGTTATGCAACTTACTCCATACAGAAAAATACTAATTCCCCCACCATGTAATGTAATATGCCCCAAGGTTGTACCCCTTAAAAAGGTTTATTTAGAAGTCATTTACAAAAGAACAAAGACGTCTTCTCCAAAACGTTTATGTTACATGGGTAGCTGAAGGCTATGAATGTCTACAGATTTAAGAATATTAGTTATGTCTTCAATAGTTATGGTATAAGGGAGCTCAGAACTTATACAACTCTCTTCGCTCTCCCCGACGCAGGGTTAGTGAGGGCATCTGAGTTACTGCATCCGTAATGAATGCGTCACCGTTTTCACGAGCTAGAATTGATGTACCCTCGTATGAAATCACTTGAAGTACACAAAACACAAACTAGCCGGTTCCAAGATGAAATATCGCTATCACGTTCGTTGCGACTCACACAGTTGTAACACACACTCATACTCACACTCACACATCACGCGAAGAGGCGCAAGAATGATTTGCCGGACGATCTGGATAGTCCAGCTGTCTGAGTTATCCAAAACTGTCCATCCGACATTTCTAACGAAGCGGCCTGTAACGAAGTCTGCTGTCCACACATTACCGCTCTCTGGTCGGGTGCCGTCCCTGTCGACCGGATGACGCGCGTTGCGCCAGAAGCCTGGCCGGGTGGGTTATGCGCAGCTACTAGAATCATCCCCCTTTCAAGCCCAGGCGCCTGGGAGAATAAGGTCATTCAGACCAAGCCGGAATCTGGTCCGTCGGAAGCTACTAAAGCAATGATCTGATTGTTTTATAAGCAGCATGCCGTCGGTAAAGTCATCCAACGCTTGGTTTTTGAGGGACTGGCACATATTTTTATTGGGGTTTGAGATGGTAAAACCATTTTCAAAACAATGCCCTGCAGTCTACAGTTATCCCCTTTTTAAGACTCACGTTTCAAGTTCTCACGTTTCTGAAGAAGGCGCACGTTAACCTGTACAAACCATATCGCACCGCTTAATTTGAAGTTACCCAAGGTTGTATGACTTAATAATATAATAATACAATAGACATACTTCTGGCTTCTGTTAAGATGGGGTCAGGGAAAACAAACATTTTGTCACCGTTTCTTACAAAATACCAATGCTTATTTCGATGAAAGTAGCCTATGCCTAACCTAAAGAGGTCTTACATCATCTCATCCTGTATAACCTGTTTGTATCACAGCAGCAGTTGTGAGTTACTGATTCTTGCACAATTCCTATTGCCACTTGCCATGCACTTGACCAGCTTAACCTACCTTAGAGAAGCCCATATGATGAACATCATCCCAACTCACCTATCTGTTGACAGCAGCACTTGTGATAAAAACATGTTTAAAGCTAGTTTTTGGCTGGTTCCAACTTGGATTTTTATGCAGTTCAATTATGTTTGCTTGTTGACATCAGACAAGTTGACAATACACAAATCAAAACACTTTAATCCACTTTGAACAACTTATTTTGATTGTCATGGTTAACCTATGTCAAGGGCAATAATGGGTATGCCCCACAAAACAATTTCTCTTCTCCAAAAATAGCACAACTATAAGGTGACCATGCCAGTATTACTGCTTGCCTTTTCAGCTGCAGCAAATGCATCCATTTGGGCTTGTTTATTCATATTTAATGACAAAGTTTGAGAAGTTGGCTTCACATTTTAAATGGGGTGGTCTGACCATTTGTTACACACCAATATTTAGCTCATATTATAATCGCTATGCAACTCAGAGTACCCCGGGGTTAAAAACATAATACATATATACAGTACAGTCATTTGCCGGTCAGCAAACCATGACAACTATAGAAAACACGTGGTTAAAGCAGCCATAAGGGGTCACTTTAAGAAATTTGGGGCAAATAACCAAGAACATGGAGTAAAACAAGCCTATTGCACACCTTGTGGCATCATAATATGTCTTATGGCAAAACTTGATGCATTCAAACGAAAAATGGCTAACTCTGGTTACCAATCATGTGTTGAAAGCAGGTAAGGTAAGCAATTACTTGGTCCACAGGAGACTTACTGGCTTCTTCCTGCTCCCCCAAAAGCAAAAATTCGGTACCTTTTGCATGGTCTGCTGGCAGACAGAGTCATCCGACTCACTCCCCAAATATATATATATATATATATATATATATATATATATATCAATCATGCCCACCAGCCTTTGAGATTAAAATGCGAAACAAGTAAGAGGTGTACATTATAAACATCTCCAGAGGGCAGAATTTCGCCATCAAACACTCCTGTATTAGCTGCGTCAGATCTGTCCCAAGGCTCTGTATGGCAGTATTTATTATAATGCTAATGCCTTGCCAGGTAGCCTGGTCAGTCAAACACTCGTAAGGCTTGGATTTATCATTATTAAACACCGCCATGAGCCAAGAAAACGGTTAACCGAAGGTTTAAGAGGGCAAAAATGACGGTAAAAATAAGTTCCGTATCTCAAATTGTCTCCTTCATTCCCTGTGAATTGTTCACGCTTGGGTGCATATCAAACATGTTTGGGCGGCTGGTGAATTGATCCAATTTATGTATAAAATATGTACAAGTTTGCAGTTGGAGCATCTTTCACAGAAATTGGTCAAAATTTTAAGTAGCAGATGGTACCTCTAAAGACAATTGAAAAGGAAGGAAGAATAAAGTGGTATGACACTGGTATGGTACCAAGAAAAAGAAGTAGCTAAATAATTATAAAGACTGGCACTTTTCTGGCAAAATTTTATAACCAGCTGATTTGACTTAAAATATGTTAATAGAAGTGTTCAAAGAGTGATATTCATCATGTAAGTTTAATTTACAACACATTTCTTGAACTTTTACTCATGCATTTCGGGAGTGTGCAATTTAGTGGTTAAGCTTCCTCGGGAAAAAAGTAGTACGTGGAGTACAATTCTCTAACAGGCCTTGCTGTTGTTTGCACCAGGCTCTGCTTTCGTGGTGTGGTGTTGAGACCAAAAAAATAGGGGATGAGTGAAAACCTTGTATTTGGCGCACAGCTGCACATTGTGATGCATTTTGTTAACGAATCAAACTTAATGCGTGCAAGCGGCTGGCGTCGCTGGCGTTCTTGGGGTTGGAGGTATCTGGCGCCCTCGTTATGTGCAAACATAGACATGATTCAGCTGTAGGTGAGGCAGGACATAGCCATTGGTGTCCAGGTTCTGCGGAGCCTCATTTATGCCTGGTGGCTTCAAGTGAGCTCGGTTTTGCATGACATCTGAAAACTTCAGAAAAAGAAATAGGGGTTTGGCATGTGCGATAAGGCAATGTCAGGCAGGAGTAAAAATTCATATAAAATATGGGGAAAGGGAGTGAAAAATTCCTCTTCATAGGGTGTTGCTTTACACCCAAAGTTGGCAATTCTAGGACACTGCTTAGAATCGTCCGGAGCAAGGAATGGATTAGCAACTACTGTTTTTGTATAACTGTGTCACCGTATTGCCATCGTACGCAGTAGCACACAACGTCGTCCATAATGACAAACTATACCCTCGGCCGTGAGGAGGCACACTATGCCCGTCAATGTTCTCATATTGTGATTTATATTACGTCTACGTAAATAATGTTTGAGGTAGATGCCCGTGATCCGGTTGTCTCGCTCGGTTCTTCACCAGAGTTCTCGTCCACCCCTCTTGCTGCAGGGCCCGTGATCCGCGTCTCGCTGAGGCGGAACGACACGGACAGTCGCAAGCTGGAGCGGATCTCGAGGTTGACACAACGGGACCGGGCGAGGTCGCAGCGCGTGAAAGGTGGACGTGACCCCCGCTTAAGCCGAATCCGTCAGCGGCAGGACACCGCCGCCGACACCGTGCGCGACACGGGCAGCAGCGAGAAGAAACGCGACGTCCGGGTCCGCGTCAACTTCGGTGAGCGGGGCGGCCGCCGATTGGTCCGGCCGGCGATGACGTCACAGTCCGGGGAGGCGATGTCGGACGGCGCGTTCGGGCTCAGTGGGCGGTGTGACATCATTCATTTTGAATGAGGCACGACCGATGTGACATTATTCGAGGTCAAACCGAGACGTGGAGCGGGCTCAGCTCTCGTCCGAACACGGCACATGAAGCTGTCACTGCACTGCCGGCCGGTTCACAGTACTGTAGATGCCGGGTGGCGAGCCGGTTCTGGGGGCGGTGGTATTGACTGACACATGATGCACCGTTGGACATTAGGTCATTCTTGGCGACTGATGCAACAGGGGCGCCGTTGACGTGGCTGGTCACGAATGAGTTCAATCACGGATATTGGTGCTGCAGCACTAACTTCGACTTATGCTCGTTACACGGTCAGGTCATGCTCTCACCACGTCCACGTTATTACAGAGACCTAGTCATTTAGCCCAAGATAGAAGAAGGAGAAGGAAGAATGCATCGCAACTCACATTTTCATAATGGGCGTCTTCGCTACATCCACGACATTCTGCATGCTATAGTTTTCAGGCGCAAAAAGTGCCGAAAGTGCGGATTTACAGGAAACGGAGGCGCCTCCTCATATTCAGCTGGGATGTGGGATGTGGGGGAGGACTGGAGCTGGGATGTGGGATGTGGGAGAAGACTGGAGCTGGGATGTGGGATGTGGGAGAGGACTGGAGCTTCCCCGCACATTGGCAAGAAAGTAAGCCAATCGGGTGAGAAGCGAGAAGTTAAGTAATTTTTCAATGCTCAGCCCTCTTTCAGCTTATTTTGCAAAGCTGCACCCCTGACTGAAAACGCACGCTTTGCGCAGTTCCATACAATCGCTAACAGACCACTGTACACGTTTACTATTGGGGAATTCGTGACATTTGAAACACAGTCGTAACCAGAACTTCCTCAGGACGGAGACCAAAATCTGATTAGAAGCCTCGTGACATTCCAAAGCGTCTTTTGATAGGAATCCAATATCACTAGATAGGCAACCCTTTTTGAATTACTAGCGACTCGTGCAAATTGAACGAGGGGCGTCAGCTGCAAAATGGCATAGACTCGCAGGTAAACTGGGCAAACTTAGGTAAACCGGGCGAGTTACCTGCGACTCAACTTTCAACCCGTGTGTAAAACGGACGTGTGTTTCGATCAAAGCATGCTGCCGAAATATCAGTTCATCTACACCTCCATTCTTCTGGTTGTTCTCCGAGGGGTAAAGCTATTACTACTGCCTTATCTATATGAATTTAACGGTTCATTTGCTTGCGTCGTGGATACTGCCGTCAAGCCGCACCCGCCCCTTTTTGCATGCGGGTTTAGTTTAATTTTATGTACAATGTCGCTCTTTGCCGACTGGGCACTCTGGGCATGGCCGTTTCCGATCTAGCGGTCTTAGATATTTATCGGTCTTTCTACGGGAAGGTGCTAACTAACGCTACGAGACTTACGCTAACGAGAGGGCAGCTGCTTAAATGCATCACGTTTTGATTTACTTCTCCAAAATAGAAACAAACATAAATATTAGTCAAAAAAGAATCCTTGTAGTCTGTGTCGTGGGATTACGAAAGTTCTTTTGGACATCGACACTGTAGTGATGGCGTTAGCCTTCATATGCCATGTGCCTCTGCAATATGCCATGCGCCGCACCTTACTACACTACATTGCTATAATATTGCTGTGGCACACCTTTCGACATATGCAAATGCTGCTTAACACCATACTCAGAACGTCGTCATGTTAAGAGGACACTTCTTATGAACACACGATAGCCTTTTTAGTTGAGAAAATTCACATATGACCATCGAAGTTCAGAATTCGTTTCGTCGAGGTGCGAAAGCTGCCGATGGTTCCTTGGTGAAACCACTGAGATGAATCTCTTCTTATTGGGAGAATGCTACCTTTTTGTACTTCTCACATGTTGTTAGATAATGTCGTGTGTTCAATAATGTTTGCAACACAATAATTTGTAAACATGCTTGCGTAATACACCATGGATATCCATTTCTCAAAACGATATTGGGGGCCAAAAGCTCGAAAGTCGGATAAGGGAACATGTGCGAAAATCCTCCCGGATTTGTTCACTTATGATATGGGTTTGTAATATATATATATATATATATATATATATATATATATATATATATATATATATATATAGTCTGCAACAACTACATTTTGTTTAAAGCCCATGTGTGGAGCTACCGGAATCACGGATGGAAGCCTAACAGTTTGCATCAGCTTCCTATAAGCGCACCTGCTTTGTGAAGCTGAAAGGGTGAAGTTATACCTCTATCTTGCACATCCAGCAGTGATGTTCGCGCATAATTTATCATCTTTTGCTTAGTGATTTTTGGCGTACTGATCTATGTTTTAACAAGAATAGAGTGTTTAGAGCACATGTGGCTATCACAACTCATTTACACGCAGGTTCTCAACAAACCCAGGCTTCACCGACAAAACATGTGAATTTTAGTTAACGTAAAACAAAACATAGAAACTCCTCTATGCACCAGTTACAAAAATGGTCCTCAACATTTCCCCAAATAGCTCAGGTAGATGCCCTCCTGTAAAGAATGTCTTTCCCCGCTCATTTTTTACGCACGTTTTGCGAGCTTGCTGTGTTTCTGGGGAACGCTGTTCTAAGCCGGCGTGCCTCTGAAAGGAAAGCGGCCCTAACCCGCTTCAGTTCGAATATGTGGTAAATGAAGCCCCGTAGCGTCAGTGTCAAGCGTAACGCAGTTTGAGCACACAAGTGTTACTGTTGAGCTGGCTCTTCGACGCCACGCTGATATACAGATACTCAGTACACAGTGAGCTCACCCACCCAGATGCACAGCCAGAATCTTGATGAGGAGAAGGGACACAGGATTGACAAAGGGTGTAATGCCCTCCACCCAAAACATTACCGGATAAGACCCATTTGATTTTAAGGGGCAATTTTTGCTCCGTTTTACCTTAATATGTTCCCTTTTTACTAAAACAAACAAGAAGGCGCCGAAATATGCTATTCTGTTAGCATTTTGAAGTCAATAACCTGAAAAAACAGGCCTTCAGTGATGACATAGAAACACTGTCGCTTTTTATTTCGTACTCGTTTAGTGAACTCGTTCTGAGTGATAATACTCAAGGGCTTTGACAGAACTTTTGCCGTGTTGTACAGAGACATTATGAACGTAGATTATTGCTAATATAGATTGTAGATCAAAATGAGTTTACAGATTTGCTTTGACAAGCTCAAACGCCGTGTGTCTGGAAATCTACGACCTTTTCCAGAATCCAGTCGTGAAAGAAACACATCACGTACTTTTGCCCATGTGCACTTGCAAACCTTAGAACGAAAACCCTGATGTCCGGCGTTGCAGTCTCCATAGGACGGCGGCGTCGCCCCTGCAGCTAACATTAGGCAGAGGCCAGCGGGCGAACAAAAACGATGTCGTTCCCGAAAAAGGACCTTTGAGCGCTTGAAGATGCCAGGTTCGTACGTTTAGAAAGTAACCCGTGAGTATGTTTCAGCCAAACAGTTTTTAGACACAATAGAAACGCATTAGCACTCGCAGCGTATCACACAGGTGCTGAAATTTGTCCACGGAGCTAGACAAGCAAAGGTAGAATTTCTGTATTTGGGCTGCTGTCGCTGTTAATCCACTGAATAAAGATCTCAAAATCATGCAGGCGAAATGTGCGCCCAAACCTAACAGTTAAGAGGTTCAAATTCATTAGGAAAGACCTTCGGAAGCATTAGGTCACGGCGGTTGTTCTCGCGCACTAGGCGCTCGCCACCCGGCGTTAGCTGTAGCGTCCGAAGCCGTTCGGTTTGATGGAACTGCAACCCGGCCATCAATGTTCTTGGTTCTAAGATTGCGAGCGCGTAAGATCAAAATTTATTTATGTATTTTCTTTCACATGCTGAATCGGATAGGAAGGGACTTTGTGTGTCGGCTTTTTCATTTTTGGCCTCGTCTTGATCCGCTGTATTGAAAACCAAAGAAGCCCTTACCTTCCCGGGTAAGTACCCAGTGGTTAGTACAATAGGGGCAAATTGTATTTTCCGGTCAGAGGTCAAAGTAAGGGCTCATTCCATTACAGCATAGGATGCCTGACTGCTGCCATGCTGGCGACTCGGGGGTTTGAGTCTCCAGGTCGATACGGAAGCCCTTAGGGGGATCAGTCATGCATTGGTCGCCTGTCTGACGCCGGAGCCCCCTGAACCGAGTATAAGGCCCCCCATGGACGCAGGGGGCCTTGTTGACGCACAAAGATCCGTTACCTCCCCAGGTGCCAAATAACTGACACAGAGACTCCAGCTCAGCACGGCGATCGCCTGGCTGAAATGGGATGGAAAGCTCCCCGTTCTGAGCTGGAGCCCCTGATTACCACTGGACCCTACATGATGTTCTTTTGGCCTCTCGCCGTTAAGTTGCATATCCACTTTCGTTGTTAGAGGGCCTGCGGTGGTGGGGATTTTGTGTTTTAGGGCGCATCGGCACCAACCAACGCGAGAGGACCTCGAGCATTCGGGGTTCCGTCCCTACCCCTGTTCAGCAAATACTACCCTGGCTGACTCAAGACCCCTTGCTGACATAGAGCCCTCTGTTAGGCACTGTTCGGGCCTGACCAACACAGAAGCAAGCATTGCTTTAGGGGTGCCGACCAATACAAATCGCGGGTCCCGACCTTGTCCCTGCTTGGGAAATGGACTCCCAGAGCTCAGACCGACACGGAGACGACTGTTCGTTGTTGGTGCTCTAACCGATACAGAGGCTCACCTTGTCCCAGGGTATTCCATATCGGTGCAAGAGGCCCTCTCGCTGATAATTGGGGGAGCAGCCCCGCGGGTCGGGCTCCTTAATATGACCTACCGCCAACTCTTCGTAACCTCCAATCTAGCAGTGAGGTGAGAGGGACACTTCGGGACCCTCTGCGGGACCCCACAATACCGTGACTCCTCCTGACCGATTAGGCGCCCCTTGCCAATACTGGACCCTTGTCAGGCATTATAAGACCCCTCACTGACTCAGGGGCCCGGCCGATGTAAATCGCGGGCCCTGACTTTATATCTGCCTTGGTTTATGGCCATTGTCCCAGGCCAGACGATGGAGTCCGGTCTGATGGCGAATCCGCCTCCACCACAGGAGTGCAATTTCGCAAAATAGGTCCGGGGCCGAGAGTGGAAACCGAACCATAGATACACTTAACAATAGGTTTCTCCCCGGATTTGGCCACTTTTCTCTCGTTATGAAACTCGGGTCACCCCCCCCCCCCCAACCGAAAATGAAGCTACATCCTAGCTCTAATACGTTTCCTCGCTCTTTTTTGGCGGAAGATGTTGACGTTGGGCATCATTTTCATTTTGTTTGACGTCGTTGGTCGTAGCCAGGTTCCAGTAATCGACGGAAGGTCGATGTTATGTGGTTTCAGACGCTCTTAAGCGTGTACAGTCTCGGGAGTATAATGGTATAAGTCGATATGCGGGACTATTAAAGGCTGCCACGGAAATCCCCCGGCTGATAGCCGCAAGGTGGGGTGTTGGTGGCAGCTCAGCGAATTTAGGCATGTTGGCATGTTGGCATTAGGCATGTTGTCGGGCAGTTGCCGCTATCGATTTGGTCGGCTGGTGTCGATCAACAGGTTCTCGTAACCGTTCCATCGAGTATTCACGTCCAAGTACAGGCAGCATATTTCAATCGTTCCTTCCGAATGTGAGCGGTTAATAATCGGACCGCGTTTTTGTATCCTAATTTCGACCAGTTTGTTCTCATCCTATGATTTCGAAACAAAATTAAGCAACTTGTTGCAGTGTATAGAATATGAAGCATCGCTCATTGGAATGAACATGAGAACAAAAGTAGACCAAAATCAGCAAGACATAATAATCGTATAACTAGAATCATGCGTGATACCGAAAAGAGTAGATAATTGTCAACTGACGGTAGCAATGCACTTTTCATTTTTTTGTTCCTTTACCTGTGAAACAATAGGTAGAAATCTGCTTCACAATTAACACAATGTTGATCTATCATTGTTCATACTCTGCTTTACTTTGGCGACAGAGGGATGGGGGCCAAACTCGCCGTTGGGGGGCCAAAGTGGGAATTGGGGGGAGGGGCAGTGGTTTGCTAAAAAAAATGCAAATCGACATCCGTGTAATACACATAACGATTGCTTGAAACACGCTTTTTAGAGAACAAACATACGCAAAATTGAGGCTGTTATCCCACGATTTCAACGAAACGTTATACTATGGCCTCGATTTTTCCCTATTCTTTATTATCTCCCTATATTATGGAGTTTACAACAAAGGTTCTTTCTGAAGGGCACTTTGGCTTTGGGAAACGTAACATCACATGGTCTGTAATAACGCGCTGGTTCAAACTTCAACCGATGCGCTTCTCGGTAACTGGCCCTTCCCGCCCGTTATGCCAATCACAAACGCTCTTTTGAACTGGCGTGATTTACACCAGCAGAGTGGCCATCTTTAACGCCGGAGACCTGCAGTGTGCGGGACAAAATACATCTTAGTGGTACCTTTAGCCTATCACAGCTGACAACGGCTCTCAACAGATTCTGCCGTCGTCATAGCGACGACGGCTGTCACGGTCTTCGGGATGCACTCTGGGCCTACCAAGAAAGAAAGAAGTGTAATACTTTTACATAGCGATTGCGGCGTAACTTGGACTAAAGAAATTTTAACATATATATATATATATATCCTTATTATAACTTGATGGTGCTGCAGTGGCACTATCAATGTTATCATTATGCGTAAGTGATCCTGAGGTTTCACTGAGGGTACGCTTCTCGACATGCCCAAAGGCGTAACATTCCCTTTAAACATGGGTCTACTCGGGGCTCCAAACGTGCAAGACGCATATGCAACAGCACTACACTTCCCTTTCTTGGAAGCCCCAGAGTGTGTCCCAAATCAGCGATAACTGCGGTTGTCGCGACCGCCGTCGTCATGACGACGGCAGGATCTGCTGAGGGCCGTTGTGAGCTGTTACCGGTCAGAGGTACCCCCATTGAGCTGATGTAAGTCGCACATCGCAAGCCTGCGGGCATAAAGTGACGCATCTGCTGGCATGAATCACGTCAGTACAAACAAATGTTTGTGGTCGGCCAGCAGGCGTCGAGGGCCAGTTTCCGAGAAGCGCTTTGGTTGAGGTTGGAATCAGTGCGTCAATACAGACCACGTCGTACCCCGTTTCCCAAAGTCAAAATTCTTTTCGAAAAGCGCATTTGTGGTAAACGCCATAGGAGGGAAATCACAACCATGGTATAGCGTTTCGTTAAATTCACAGCATCATAGGCTCATGCTTGCGTATAATTTTCCCAAAAAGGGTGTTTCAAGCTTTCCCAACATTCATTACACAAGCATTTTGACAAATTAGTGTGTTGCAAACACTACAGAACACATACGTTGGAATAAGCAAGACAAATGAAACGCATCACTTTCATAGTGGTGAGCAGAGGGACCAACAACATTTCTCCTGCAGAAGCGGCTGCTTCGAATCGAAGTTCTGAGCTGCTCAGAGGAATGTCGAGTAAGCTGGCATTACCGATCAAATCGGGTGCGCCTGATATAGCAATAAGTGAAAAATACAAAACGTGGCATGCTCCCTTTAACGTCTTATCCTTTCGCTTTTGAAATGGCTGCTATCGAGGCTACGTACCCCTGGGAGTGTTTATTCGCAGGAGGGTGAAATAGCGGATTTCGGTGGCTACATTGCCGAATGGTCCACGAATACATCTGGCGACACATTTACACTTATTTTACAGCGAGGGAGCCGATTGGCCGGCCTGTTCTGCAGCGCAGCTGACCAGTTCAGGGATATTGCAAGTGACATTCTGTGCCCAGTTCAGGGACATTGCAAGTGACGGACAGGTGACGTCATGCACGAGGGCGCGTTCGATGGGGGGGCGGCGGTGTGATAGACACCCAAATTGGCAGACGACCACGTGCCAGCTCGGAGAAAATGGAGCATTGCCGGCCAAAGCATATGCTCATTCGAGATAGAAAGGGCGCAGTTTGGAGGCGAACAGCACGTTGGCTTAGCCCTGGAGGTTATGTTGGCTGGATTAGTGCGTAGCCGGGCTGTACATGACGGTAGTGTTGTGAGTAGTATTATATTGATTGTATGGTGGCGGAAAATGCAAAGGGAGCAGCAAAGAGACACGCCATATAACGACCACAACGCGACACTGAGCATGCGACTGACCCGACGATATTGGCATTTTCAAGAGGAGGTAGTTTTAGCTGCAGGCCGCTCTTGAAAGAAGGAATATTGTGCTTTTACAGCTATGATTTGTGCGATGCTGTACCATGCACACTCTTACAATTTGCGCCCAGTTAATATACTCTATGCAAGATCATGGATCCAACTTTTAAAAAATTTAAACTAAAAAAGGTCCGTCACGATGGTTCCGTTGGTCAAAGCAAGTGCCTTCCGATACACCACCGGTGGCGTGGTGGGTTAGAGTCGTTTTAAGCGCTCGCTGTTTGCCCTTGACAGACATGGCCTGCGGCCGGTGGCAGCGGTCGCACTAAAGGTCAGTTGACGCCAGCGGGCAGGACGGACCGTGCCGAACATTGAGAGGACGTTCAACTTTCGCCGCCAAATTCTGCCGGTGTCTGAAATTGCGCGATCGGATGGTAGGGGCCATGTTTCACACAACAAGCACTGCTTAGCGTTAGCGCTGATCCCAGAAATCCATTCATTTAAAAGGTTCGGATTAAATCTGAAAAACAGGCCCCGCTGAAGTACATCTACTGGTGGAAACATATCAGTGTCATGTACAGCAACATGGCGGCAAGTGAGTTCGGCACGAGTGCTAAATGAAACAGTACATTAGACTGTTTCCCTACTCTCACCATGCCTGTGATTTCACCTTCTATGCTTGATTCACTTCAGTATTTATCTCAGGAGTTTGATCACCAACACAGCTGTGTTTGCGTCTGTCACCACGTGACTATACTTGCGCAAGCATCACGGCCATTTTCTGATTGTAAGTGCCACTACACATGAGATAATACGCCCACCCTCACATGGCATTTGGCACATGCATTGTCTCGTGTAAGCGCTCGCCCAACTCACGGACGTGAGGATCTCCATATCGCCAGAGAAACCACCTGATCTTGCTCTGGCGGTTTCCTCAGGCGGAGGAGCGGAGTTCACTATCGGGGCACGGCACGTCGATAAGAAGACCGGCATCGAGCAGGCGACGCGAATTCGGCAGAAGTCCCAGAACGATACTGAGCTCCACTCTGCCAAACGTAAGCGACCAATAGGACAGCGTGCTTCACGGGGCGAGCATTGGTGGTGGGGGGCGGGCTAGTGCGACGCGGCATCGTGGAGCCGCGACAAACAGCGTGACATTTCGGAATCGTGATAAACGGGGATATGATCAGAACACCGAACATGCTCGTAGCATGAAGCGTAAACAGGCTACCTCAGCAGTGTTGATATTTAGGTGACGCGTATTGTGGAGACGGTGGCAGGGAGGGAATTTTAGTGGAAACGCAGAGTGAAAGTTTGAAAACTTGATAGCGCGTACACGGGTGGCCTTCTATTCGGTTTGGGGGCTTTAGCCCCTCCCCATCCTTCACCCCTAACCTGTACTCCCCTCAACTTTGAGAAAAAAGTTGGCCAAATCCTGGGAGAATCTCGTTTGCTGGCGTTATTTTGACGGTAGGTTCCATCATTTTTCACTGCTCAGGCCCCTCACAACTCATTTTGCAAAACTATGTCCCTGATCGAGTGTGTACGCACCTGTTAATGCCTCGGCCTCTACACCTGACCTATCGCCGTCAGCCGCAACTAACAGGGCACGTGCACTGTCACAGGATCGGAGAACGCCACACACACTTTGGAGAGGGACAAAACGACGGTGAAAAAGGTCAACGTGGAGACTACAGATTTAGACCAGGGAATCACACTCAGTGATTCTGGTCATGGGTGAGTTATAAGCCAGCGCGCCGTCGGCTGCTGAAAGCGTGAGTCTTCACTGGCAGGTCTGACAACGGTTAAAGTACTCGTTTCGCTCATCTGGTGAAACAGTCCCGATCGCACCCGCCACGGCGTTGGCGGTGAAAAGTTTACGCCGCGAATTTCTTCCAAGTCGTCGCAAACAGGAGCATCAGACGTCCAGTACTAAGCAAGGAGGTCTATGTTATCAATTTCCAAGCGATTGGTCAAACTAATACATTCCGGAAGGGATGTATCATTTGACTTCAGTGGCAAGGATACTGTGTTAGGTCAAGTCACGAGGCGACACCATCGGGAAGGCACATGGATATTTTCGCTTCCACAAGCAACAGTTGCTTTGGTATAGTTAGTCGAATGGTTTGAATGTGCACCAATCAGGACCCATCATGCTCTATAAGGTCGTACCACTTCACCATCAAAGGACGTTTGGGCTCAACTTGTGGTGTTGAAATAGAAGAATTTGTGACCGTTCATTAACGATTGATAAAAAGACACAACTAACATGTTACCAAATAATTGCTTTCATGTGGGATGGACAGGTAGTAACCCGACTTTACCTTTTTAACGTTATACTATCATTTGGTCGCGCGCGATTGTGCTCTTACCTTTTGCGCTAGTTAAAAAGCATAATCATTGATTATTACGTGTGCAGCAAGGACCCAAAGGCTTCGAGCATGTTTAAGACTTTTAGGTAATTTGCTAGACCTTTACGTCACCAGCGATGTGGCAGATGTCACTTCAGCGGCTGCTCAATGATACTAATCGGGCTATAGACAACCATGTGAACTTGAAAATCCGGCTGGGAAAATAATCCATGGCTAACGGGAATTTATTCTTGCATTCCCAGAAAGATCGTAGAGGAACACCACAGCCCTTCCAAAACCACCCACGAGGACTGGGTGTCCATAAAGGGGCCCGAACAGTCACCAGTCCCCAGGTCAGCTTCAGTACAGCCATCTTCTCCCAAATCACATCCGGAACAGACCTCCTCGAAGTCAACTCAAGACCAGTCATCCTCTCCTAAATCAGATCCCAAAACGCCACACAGAAGGCCCGATCTTATCATGTCATCCTCTTCCAAAGCAGGTCCGAGCATGCCACCGCCTCGTAATATGCAGTCCAATATTTTCACCAGATCAGGCCGCGGTGCGCCTTCTCCCGAATCAGATGACGTCACGACCCCATCCCAAAGCTCGGGCACAAATAGGTGGTTATCCCCAAGCTCGCCTTCAGACACCGCATCGGCTCCCAAGTTAGGTCCAGACACGTTATCATCTCCCCACTCAGATGGATACATATTGCCGTTTCCCAAATCAGCTCAACGCCAGCCGGCTCCGCCGAAATCAAGGCAAAAGTGGTCGTCATCTCAGCGGGGACCGCAGGGGTCCCAGCAAAAGAAACCGCCACCGCAGCGGGAGGGGCTGAGATCACAACGGTCCGGGCCGAGACCGCCACTGAGGAGGCTGAGATCACAGCGGCCGGGGCCGAGACCGCGAGTGGGACGGCTGAGATCGCAACGGCCGGGGCCGAGATCGCGACTGAGGTGGCTGAGATCACAGCGGCAGGGGCCGAGACCGCGAGTGGGACGGCTGAGATCGCAGCGGCAGGGGCCGAGACCACGACTGGGGCAGCTGAGATCACAGCGGCAGGGGCCGAGACTGCGAGTGGGACGTCTGAGATCACAGCGGCAGGGGCCGAGACCGCGACTGAGGCAGCTGGGACCTCAGCCGAAGTGGCCGACAGCCGTCCGCACAGCCCAGCGTCTGACTGGCGCTGTGGTTGTGATCACCCGCCGCCACCGTCGCCCAGTCCACGGCCATGGTTAGTGCACACCACATGGTGTCCGGTCTCCGCTGGAGATGTCCGAGGGGGACCAAGGCGAGGCTGCGTGGCGGAGGAATATACTCCTGAATGCAGTGTCTATTACAGCCACGGTTCTTGAAGTAGTGCAGATAGGGTATCCATTTTTAATTCAGCTAATGAGCTGTATCATGGATGCAGAATGGCACTAGAAGTTGGCAACAGGGTGAAAAAAGCTTCTGATTTACCGGATGTGATCGGTAACAAAAACTGAACTTTTGTGAGCCAACTGTTGACAAATTTACGAAAACGCAAACAAATTTCAACAGACCAAACCATATTAAAACATACCATACCAGCTAGACGAAACTCAAAGCTTAGTATTGGCTGTACTCGCCAACGCTTGCAGCGTGAGCATGTGTAGAACACATGTCAAAACGTTGACGTTTCGTTGTATGAGCGAGTTGAGCCCTAGCTGCTACCAAACATGATAGCTTTTATCGGGTTGGTTTAAGCAGGTGACTTAAATATACAACAAACTATACTGTATCAGCGCTAACGTCAAAGAACAGTGGTAACACAGTGCTTTTCCAATGCTCCTCAGATAAGTGCTTTTCACAGGTTTTCTTCAGCCAAGATTCACTTCACATGCTTAACAGTATATAATACCGAATAACTAAGCTTAGTACTAGTCGTAAGAATTGTGGATGGCTGCAGCATCTTGCAGGCGAACTTGATCAGTTCGATACAAGGTGTTTTAAAGCATCGTGCCATTTGAGACAAACCGGGCTCCAATGCTCGCCGCGCAGTAATGCGTTGGGTTTAGCACAGGGATGCGGGCTGCTGTTGGCTGTGTTCATGCTGTGAGAAGCCGACTGGCTATGCAAACGTGGATAATCGTCAGTCTTTTTTAATGTAATAGCGTTAAAAAGCCCTGCCGATCCAGGAGGATTGCTGTTTGTGGATACCCGAAGTGTAACTTCAGAGGTAAACTGAGGACGTTGGAGCGACACATGTCAAGGATTCAGCCAGGGCTTCCTGCTGCTGTGAGAAACAGCGGCTTTAAGATAAGAGGCCCAACATCGCTGGTATAGGCTTCCCACACTGCCCGTTGTGCCTCAGGCTTAGCGTACTGATCGGTGGGCATCGTGTACTGATCGTGAGATAAAACGCTTTGTATTGCCATCATATTGCAAAAAAGCTAAATGAACGTGCTAGAGATGTGCAAAAATGTCGTTTGCACCTGTCCATACCAATATTGTATGGAGTTTTGCTTTAAACAATTGGATCATGTTAGGAAGTGCGAGTTCTGCATCGGTAATGGTTATGTGAAGATCATAAAGGTTCTCAACGCGTCCCACTGATTTTGCGACGACGTCACGAAACCAAAAGGGATATTGTTGTCAGTAGGGGTGAGGGATAGGAGGGGGAGGGAGTGCAGGAAGAAAAAAGTGCTTGGGCCTGCCTTTGAAATGCACTTAAAACAGCTTTAACCCTGGATTGGTCGCCTTTTTTAACAGTGGAGAGTAAGAGTGTAGTTTCTCAAAACAAGTTTTTGGGGCTGAACCAAAAAATTATGATTAATGAAAAATAATGGCTAAAAAGCGATAACTAAAAATGGGAAACTACATCTCTGGTTAGAATGCACAATCCCCGCTCCCCCTAATAGGGAAACTGTTTATATCTCCCAAATAGAAAACATAAAAGTTGCCAGTAAATGCAACTCTAGTGCAAATGAACTCCCGAAACAAAAATGTTTGATGGGTATGCCGCATTACATTAAATTTGTCTTTGCCTTCGTGGTTTATTGCATTTTGAGTTATATTGCAACGGTTGCTGGATGACTTGGCTCCCGGCGACAGCTTGGTTCTAAACTTCGTTGGTGGCAGAAAAGGTACTTTTTCACCCCTGGTTGGCAAGGCAAAGCTGGTAGAATGAGAGTCGCTCAAAAGGGATATGCTAAAATTTGAGTGGCAAAACGTTTGTTTCGGTGGAAGTCAGCAAAGTTGCTGCAACACGTACCATACCACCTTCTCCAACTAGCGACCTGCCATTGCACCCTGTTAATGCTACGGTTTGCACACTACACTTTGCACACAAACACGAGCATTTTCGTACCTATTTGTCAACATATTTACTCCAGGTGTAGACTGCAGCTTCATGTCGATCCCATCGTTTTTGTTAGTTTGTCTGAACGGCAATACAGTGGTCTTTGAAGCATATCATCGGCTTAAAAGAGATGGAAGGTGCCACAATTTTCAGAAGTTGAAGTCCAAGGCCAAACTAGGGCCAGCATATGTACATCATCGACTTTCAACGTTATGCTCATGTATGTTTCAAGTAAATGCAGGCAGTCAGCGTTCAGACACACTTTTTCAAGCATCATACTCCGCACACACTTCGTTAGAACACGACGAAAGTAGAGTTCGCAAAGTTATTGTGTACTGTCATCGTCTGTTACCTCCTTATCGATATTCCACGTGACTCTAAAACTGGTAGAAACGTGCCTAGGACACATAACAACCACGTAGGCAAGCAGTCCAGTTTGAAGAGGGTGCCGTGTTGAGATGAGAACCGACCTACCCGCGGTCGATTTGTCGTGGAATGACGCAAGATAATTCCAATTTCACCGCATGCGAATGCCAGTGAAACGACTCGCCGCAAAGTCCACGCCGATTTCCGACTCAGTAGCAGTGACCTTCGATGGCAAGCGTGCATTATCCATCTATCTTCAGGTGAGAACTAATGCCCGGCGCAGCTCCATGGCCATTCAGGCGAACAGCACAGCGAATGTCAGAGACAAACTGTCAGGATGGAGTGTGCAGTGCACTGGTACAGCGCGGGATTGACGAGGGCCAGGCGCGGCCGGCCGCACCTCCAGAACATAGCGGCGCCGGATGACAATTATTATTTCGTTTGTTTCAGGCGTTAGGGGCTGACACGTCCTCCCCTCACGTGACATCATCTCTGCACGAGACATGGTCGCAGCCAGGAGCTCAGTCGGACGTCTATCGCCATTCAGGCCGCCTTCTCTATCCTGACTCCAGAATGTTTTTCTTGCACGGCGCAGGTGCTGACCACTGTGCCGCGTTCGGCTAATATTGAAATACATTTGTTTCGTGCACGATCGGAGAAGACCGTGCCACAGACGACGCAAGCCTCAAGAACGGAACTGGGCCGAATATTATTCACCACCAGCATCAGATGACCACACCGGTAATACGCCGATAACAACCATCACTTGGCACAACCTAGGATCAGGCACGCAGCCAGAGCCTTGGCAAGGGGGCGGGCGCAGGGCTGGCAGAGGGCCTCTGATAGTAAAAGGGGCCCCAAAACATCGCTGGATATGACACATTTGTTATCGAGGACATGTTTTTCTAGGGGTTTTCTTCTTTTATTTCTATAACTGGAATAGACGCCAGGAGGTACGGCGAAATCAACTTTGCCTGAACTTCTGAAGTCAATAAACTGAAGAAATAATGCAATAAATGATTCCATGAAATAAATAGCCGGGCTCTTCATTTTACAATGGTCCAAGAGGTTCTTTCTATACCGATAGTGCTCAGAGTCTTAGTCTCAGTCTTAGTCTCAGAGTCTCAGTCATTGTACGCTGCACAACATTGATTGAGAGCCAGCTGACCGCTGCTATATCGGGAAATCCCGCTCATGAATGCCGGATGTGAACGCCTCGACAATTCTTTTGTCGCAGCCTTGATCGCCGCAAGACACATGACATGGCAGGATTTGAATGATATTTTTATGACGTCATTAATGCCAAGGTGACTTTGAAATACTCTCCCCGATATAACCTTCCCCATTTTCGCGGGCGTGTAGCTCGGAAACCAGGGGCTCAGGCCTTAAAGAGGACAGGATTGTGAACAGCACCGTTACCTTTTCAAAATGTCTATTTCAGTTCAAAACCCAATATAAATGTAGAACACTCCCTTTTAAGACCCATGTAGATTGTAGACCGAAATGGATTAACAATTTATACCAACGTGGCCAAGCCATGTTTTGTTGGGAATGTTCAACATTCGGTCAGAATCAGTTAGTGATGCACATCATGTAACGTAATTTTGAATATGCGCCGCCGTCAAATCTTCGTAACAAAGGCCTCAACGCCAGGCTTGAAGTCTCCATAGACTAGCTCAGCGTCGGTCTCGCGGCTGGCACTGAGCCGCGGCCAACGGATGGATGTAAATTATTACGCATCAGAACAAGTACCTTTGAACGTTTTATGACATCCAGTCGTACATTTAGAAGGTAGCCCGGTCGTATATTTCGCATTTGTGATTTTTTTTGGTGGATAATAAGAACGGATTGACCTTGACAGCACCCGCGAACTGGTGGTGAAATCTGGTGGTGGAACTGGAAGAGTAAAGGTAAAATCCCTATTTTTCGTGTTGCTGTAACGTAATTTTGAATATGCGCCGCCGTCAAATCTTCGTAACAAAGGCCTCAACGCCAGGCTTGAAGTCTCCATAGACTAGCTCAGCGTCGGTCTCGCGGCTGGCACTGAGCCGCGGCCAACGGATGGATGTAAATTATTACGCATCAGAACAAGTACCTTTGAACGTTTTATGACATCCAGTCGTACATTTAGAAGGTAGCCCGGTCGTATATTTCGCATTTGTGATTTTTTTGGTGGATAATAAGAACGGATTGACCTTGACAGCACCCGCGAACTGGTGGTGAAATCTGGTGGTGGAACTGGAAGAGTAAAGGTAAAATCCCTATTTTTCGTGTTGCTGTAACTGTAAATCTGTCCAAAAGACAATACTAAAGTTGTAAGAAGTACGCCCTTTGAATTGTACAAATTGCTTTTGAAAGACATTTAAAAGCATTTTTTATGACGGGCGTTCTCGCGCGCATGGCGCCGGCTGCAGACCTCCTCAAAGTGCGTGACCGACTAGGGGCACTAGCCGGCACATGACCCCCGGTTAGGCACTGTCGGCTCTGACCGACATAGGGGCCCATCCATTGCTTTAGGGACCCAGACCAACGCAAATCGTGGCCACAGGTCTTGCATCCGCTTGGGAAATGGGCCCACAGATTCACAGGGAGTCAGCTGTTCGGTGTTCGTGGTCTCTGGCCGACTTTAACACCCGCATTATCTCAGGAGTTCTGGAACGATGCAAGAGAACCTCTGTCCGATATTTCAGGTCGCGGCCCAACGTGCTGTGATTCTTTATGTGACCTACAGCCAGCCCTTCGAGTCGTTATGCCCTCCGGAACCGACGATCAAAGGCCCGTCGGGCCTATGATCGTCGGTTCCGGAGGACCGCCCGGGTCTCTTTGCGAACAAACGACCCTCTGTTATGCATTCTGAGCCCCCGAACAGATACAGGGGCCCTGATAATTATAAATCACTGGTCCCGGCTTTGCACTTGATTGAGAAGTCCGCGTCGTTATAATTGGGAAGCTCCGTGTCGGCATGGGACTCATGGCCCATGCCGACACGGAGCCGACTGCGCGGTCCTGGTGGTGTCTGATTAGGCCCGCATCGACTCAGGGACCCCCGATCAGCGCAAAGGGCCCCCTGGCTGCCATTTGAGGGCCCGTACCGGCAGGCCGGCCCCCGGAATAAGACTCCGACCAGCCCTCTGTGCTCTTGTTCTCTCCAATCGGCCCTTGATCGTCGGACCTGCTGGGCCATTCAAGGTCTTCGGGACCTCTCGAACACCGCATCCGGCCGCATCGGGATCTGGTGCAAAAACAGGGCGCTGTGGAACTGACAGACGCTGGAGCCCCGACCAATTTAAATCGCTGGCTCCGGCCTTGTTCCTTCTTGGGAAGTGGGCCCCGGCCCATGCTGCCAAGGAGCAGACTGTGCGTCACTGGTGGTGTCTGATCGAAAAATAGGCCCTTATGGACTCAGGGCCCCTGATCAGTGTGCAGGGCCCTCTGGCTGGCACTGAAGTGCCCGGCCCTGCGGGCCGTGGCCTTTTAATGGGACCTCCGGCCGACCTTTCGGACCCCTCGGGCCCCCAAATCGTGCCGCAGTCATAGGTCCAGAGAGGCCTGAAATGCTCCTCGATACCTAGGGGTGAGGCAGGTACCTCCAGTGCCCTCCCCCTGCCTGCGCTACCGCCTAAGGTCATTGTTTCTCCCCGGAGGATCATTGCTACTCCCCGATTTCATCACGTGCGCAGAGTTGTAATGTAGCGGAAACATCTCCAAGAACACAGCAGCAGCGATTACCCGTTACCGAAAACACGACCGGTTGGTACTGCATGCATCAATGTAAACCGGAACGTTATCAACATATCCGGGCGGCCGGTGCGGAGATGCCGGACCCCCGTGACAGCAGCGACGCGTCGTGGCGACCACACCCAGATGGGAGCGGGTAAAATAGGAGAGGCACGGACAACACGGTGGCCAAGGACTGGTCCGTTAGCAACAGGGCCTACACTGCCCCGTTATGTGAGAGAGCGCCTTCGAATGAAGAAACAAACAACGGCGCCGCGCTATCCTTGGTGCATTGTATTGGTCCTTGGCATCTCACACATGCATCAAGACGTTGAAAGCGCTGATGCCTGAAGATATCAAGATGCGTGCAAATAATACCATACCGTACTATACGACGCATTGCAGCAGACATCAACTGGCTTCGATTCGTGCAGAAGCCTTCAAAAAACACAGGAAAGAAGCGGCTCCCGGCGACGCGCCATATCATCGCGCAGGGCTCACGTGCGGCCATAGGCCAACAGGCCCGTTCAGATGTGAAAGCGTGACATCCGCAATGTGCCCTCGCATCTCAACCTGGCGTCACGTAAGCCTTCGTAACTTAAACTGCCCTCCTGTCTGATTTGACATGTAAATCCTGGATGATATTCCCCGACTCCTAACGGCTGCGAACGTCGAGGCGCTCGCCTTTGTCCGGCGCCGAATCAACGGACATTTCCGGCACCGGGTGACCTTCGCTGATAACTCGCGACCGAGCTTCCTCTAAGGTTCGTTTATTCCCGTATAAAACAAGTCAGGCGAAGTTCCAGTGGAATACAAAACAATGTGCACCCTGATTGGTTCAGTTGTGTGCGCCGTTGCAGGTTACACGATCTTGACTTTGCAAAGGGACGAACTTATAACGTATGGGCAAATGGGTACGGGTACTGGGTGACAACGTTAACGCGACCCACCTTCTTTCTATAAATAAACAAACTCTGAGCTACCGGTATTTTGGCCCGGGGTAGGGGGTTCCGATGCTCCAAATCATCGACCTTAAATTCACCAGGTGGCAATGACAATGACGCTTTCAAGCAGGGATTGGTTGTATTTTGAAAACCTGGTGTTTTGAAGCGGCGCCCGTGGCCGCGAGAGAACGACCTTGTTCACTCGTAAATATGAGAACGGCTTCAGAACGTCGAACTTTCTCAATGGGATCAATGCTAACTTTCAACATCAAAACTCCTAACTCATAATGAGAAGCCATTTTAACCGGTCATTGTACTGTGAAGACGCAACCAGCCTTTTGAACTGTTGTGACCTCTGCTTACTCGCCGATTGACCTAACCTCAAACAGAGCTCCTCACCACGACCCCTCCATTGAGCATGGTTCCCAAATTCTGGGGGGGGGGGGGGGGGCCGGCCGGGTGGTGGTGGTGGTGGTGGGGTGGGGGACTTTATATCAATGCACAACAAGTCCTTGTTTGCTGGTATAGTCACAAACAATGGGTTTTCACTCTAATTGGAAAGGCGAAGGAAAACAGAGTGTTTTGGAGACGCTCTTTTTCCTAAACAATTGACCACAGCACCACTTCTTGGACTACCACCTTGGTTGCGATTTTACCACACTTAGTCAATGTCCGTGTCAACAAACCTACAAAAAATCATGGAGCATGCCCAGAGAAGCGCCTTCTTAGCGGGGCGACGAGATGCACAAAAACAGCCTCGCGACTCAAACGAAACGTGCATAACGACACGACGCACTAGGGAGCCCCAACAACACATGTAACAACAAACGCACGCACGGCACGGAATTAATGTTGACCTTTCATACTTGATGCTGCGATACTGCCCTTTTACTGTGAAGTAGGATGGGAAACATGTCACCAAACTCGTTTCGTGTGGAATGGTATTTAGGTATTAAACTTCCACTAAAAGTTTTACCCTTATGGAGCCGCGCGGATCGTATGGTCCATATCATGACTGAAAACCGGTCCATTTTGGCCCCACATTATTCCTGCAATACGGACAGTCAACTTCGGCGCACTCATTAAGCTGAAATTTGTACTGCAGAGGATATTTTACGACACAATGTCGTGTGCAACAAAAATTTCAGGACAATCCTGGTGCCAAAACGGTATCCTGGTGCCAAAACGGTGTCATTCCGTCGCCGCAAGACCACATGATACACATCATGGCAGAAGTTTGTGGCCACGTATTTCTAGGAATTCTTGCCGACCGGATACAACAAAATCCTTTACATCTTGACACATCACCTGAAATGTATACCAACAGGAAGCAAAACACGCAGGGCGGCAACAAATCGGTGGGACACACCACTCGCCCTAGGATGGATCTACTATCCTAGGATGGATAACACGACTAGGATGGATCTTCCAATACGGCGGAAGATCCCCAAACTGTGCTTGAACTTACGTGAAGACACCGGTCTCCACAATCAAAACAAACAACACGTTTCATGTTCTCACAATACTGATCACATGCCCACACAACACGCGCCAGCACTCCATCCCGCCGTGGCCAGCTCTGGACGGCAGCCGCCCAGCTGCAGCTGCCGGCCTCAGGTCGCCGATACGCCCACGAGCGCACGCTCACTGCTGTTTGCGGTGTCGGCCCGCGGCGCGGCGGATGTGCAGCGCCACGAGCAGCGCCACCGCCGCGCAGCCGGCGCCGGCCAGGCCCGGTCCGCGGTCGCTCACCAGCTGCTGGGCGGCGCCGGCGGCCAGCGGCGCCACCAGACGCGCCAGCGCCGCGATATTCTGGCTGGCGCCCATCACCAGGCCGTGGTGCGCCGGCGGCGTGCGGTCCAGCGTCAGTGCCGTGCCGCACGCGCGCAGCGACGACGTGCACGCGCACAGCGGCACGAGCGCCGCCGTCAGCCAGCGCAGGTCGGGTGCCAGGCTGGCGGCCAGCAGGGAGGCGCAGAAGGCGGCTGACGTAACGACCAGCTCGGTGAGCCGGTCGCCGCAGAGCCGCTCCACCGGGCCAATGAGCAGGCCGGCGCCGGCGCTCACCACGCCCTGAAACGACATCAGGTAGCCGAGCACGACCGGCGTCAGCCCATACAGCCGGCTCGCCGTCGACGAGAAGTTGGAGCGGAACAGCAGCACGGCGAAGGCGTAGAAGAAGCGGACGAGCATGAGGTCGGCTGTGTCGGCCCAGCGCACGTCGCGGAAGGAGGCGAGCGACTCGCCCAGCGCGGCGGCGCCGGCCGTGTGCCGGTTGCGCGGGCCGTCGCGGACTAGCAAGCAGGCCAGCACTGCGGGAGAGCGGCTCCGGTCAGCGACGACAGGCGACAGCGCCGTCGGTCGAGAACGCAGCGCTCGGATCAGCGCGCACACGACAGAATAGATCCAAAGCACGACGTGAGATGGCGTGACTGCAATCGGCATAATGCACAGATCACGTCAAAGAGGAGACAAAATCGCAACCGCGACGATGAAAATCATGCTCGATCTCAACACAACAAACAGGCTGTCCAGAAAACACAAATCCATCACTCCGGCAATCCATTTGCCAGCTTACCGAACATGACGCAGAACAGGCTGGCGCAGAGCAGGGTGACGAGCCTAAAGCCGCCGTCCAGCTCCGCCAGATGCCCGCCGATCGGGGGGCCCACGATGAAGCCCATGCTGGAGACGGCGTTGAACCAGCCGATGGCCGTCTGCCGCTCGGAGGGCGGCCGCAGGTCCACCAGCAGCGTCCGGCACAGCGTCTGCGTGTGCTTGAAGCTTCCTGCGGACACAGCAGAGGATGGCCGCAGGTTAGCGCGCGTTTGGCACGCTGCGCCCGACGCCACTGATGGCGATCGCTGTCAGAGGACAACTCATCACAGCGGCTGTCGCCGGAGCGCGATTTGTGTTTACAAACGGCTTGCGGGAAGTAGTGCACGATGGGCAGCCGACGCTGAGAGAACAACGATGCGACGAAACACCCAGTGCCAGCCGAATTCCAGTAACACAAGCACGGCCACACGGCCTCACAAGCACGGCCACATCCAGACGCGACTTGGCCGGTTCCCTGATGAAAAGCATGCCACACTCGCGCTACGCTCCATGACCTCGGCACAGCACAGCGCGGAGTGCCGGATCTCACCGGAGAGCACCCTGGCGATCACGAGCATGATGATGGTCTCCGAGAATGCCAGCACGAGGTAGCTGATGCAGCAGGCGAACAGCGAGACCAGTAGCACCGGCGACCGGCCGTACTGGTCGCTTAAGCTCCCCTGCCAGCGGGAGGTCTGGCCTCACGCACTGGCACGCCGATGCCCAGCGGCAGTGCAGTGCTCGCACATGGGACGGGAGCGGCTGGGTGCCGTCAGCTGTCGGGCTTCTCAGTCTCACCGACAGGAGGGCGGGCTCGGAACTAAACACGGGCGAGTAAGAGGATTGAAATCCCGCAGCTGGGGAACAGCACCAAGCACAGGATGAGCCATGGCCACGACCGAGCAATAATTTGCCATCCCTGTGGCCGGGGCTTACGATGGGTGACGCGTTGTCAACAGGTCTTGGGTTCGCGTCCAGCAGTGGGTGATACACAAGGATCAGTTGACAAATAGCGAAGCAGGGTCACGCTGGCCTGGCACAGGGCGACTGTGGCACAGTTGCATGGCACCATAAGGTCCTCCACGATCCTGTTTGGCAAACCCCACAAAGGCCGCATGGTCCGTTGAAGTGGAATAGCCCTGTTTGGATGATGGGTTCAAAGTTAAAGCAGCCAGCTCTGTCCAGCATTTACTCAGGCCTGATGTCGCTCACGCAGAATTATTCAAAATGCTAGGCGAAACCTTCCCGTGCGGGGGCATACAGCAAAGGGCAGACTCAAAACGGGCACGACTCCGCTTCAAACCGCCTCGGTATTCTCACACTGTGTTCTCTCAAGACGTGCACAGCGCTCATCAAACTGTCAGTGGGTGAAGAGGAGGGTCCCAGCCATGGACGGGGCGTCCATGGCCACGGGGCCAGGGCGACGGCAGCTGGCGCTGCAGCTTACGCAGAGTGGGCTCGAGACGAGCTGCAGGCCACCGTACACGGAGCCCACCAGGCCGTTCAGCATCGGCGACGCGCCCAGACTCTCGCCGTGCGTCAGCATCAACGGCAGGATCAGGCTGATCGCGAACAGGTCCTGCCAGTCGGGCGGCACGTGTCGGGACTCGCACCGGACCCGGAGCGACGGAGCCCCGGCTGAGACGCGCCGGCAACGGACGGTGGCCTCGCCGCGGCGCGCCGCAGCTAAACCCATAAACCCACGGACACGAGCCGCTACCGCGCTTCAGAATATACGGATGTCGCCGTGCATCTGGCAGTTGAGTTGAAGTCAGCGGCTGCCTGTGTTGAGGTCGCTTTATGACAACATAAAATACCGAACTTCTGGATTTACATCACCTGCTGTCATTAGAGGCATCAAATGCTGCTATTGTATGCCGCTGGAAGATGTTTTATGTTTAACATTTCATATCTGATGTAAATGTTCAAGGCATTTTTGTGAGTACTCGTGTCATCAGCCACGTAACGAGTAGCAACTCAGCGATTTTCGGGGGAAATCGGCAAGAGATACCAATTGTCCTTTGCTGTTGGCGCTCAGGTGATCAGATAGTCACATGTTACGGGAGGGGCTACTTTGGTCCCAGGCGATCGCGCAAGGCTAAATGCATCAGCAAGTGCTGGGTAAACATCATGTGGTTTGGGAATGACATCAAATGCATGAAGACAGCTATTGAAAGATACTATTCAGCAGTCAAATGATAAAAGGGACATGCAGCCCTACTTACCAAAAATCCTAAGAAATATGTGCATATCACACATGATGTCTGAGTGCCCCAGCTGGTTTCCATCTGGAAAGGAACAGAGCCTGCTTAGGGTTTTGAGTGGATTGGCAAATGTGCCTCTTGTGACCTGTCTGGTACACCATGTATCAGATTGCTTGCTGCCAGCTGCACGACATTTTTAAAAAAGGAAATGTGACAGATTCTTTTGCAAGGCTAACTTCAGGCTCACAGGTCTTGCTAATGATTGCTTTCTAGAGAGACCCTTTGTTATAAAAAAATGTGACTACCACTCCCTTAAAACAATTCACTTTCAATAGACATGCCCAATCACTTCAACATGTCAAACAATGCCTCGACTCAGCCATCCCCATTTCATCTGAATTCCTGGCCAGCTGCTACCTGGCCATCGCAGATGAGTCATATAAGCGGGGCTCCCGGGCGCAATCCCACACGTCTGCTTCACGCAGTGTTCGTCGATTCAAGAATAATAAATACAGAGACCAATTGTGGGGTCTGACAGCACTGTGACACCATACTGGCACTGCCTGAATGACACTGCCTGTCTGACACCATACTGAATGAACTTTGTAGGGCGCCTCCGAGACTCTGAAGTTCCCCGCGGACGGAGCCGCGGCCAAAGACAGCAGTGGAGGCCACGGGTCGGGGCTAGGTGCTCTCGACACGCTGCAGCGCCCCAGAGTGGAACAAAGAGCGGAGTCCTGAGATACTGCATGGCGTGAACGGACATCGCCAGTCCAGCGTCCGGTGGTTGAGATTAGACACCCCTGATATACCGCGGATCCGTCGGTGACTGGACTCGAGCGACCCTGAGACGACGCCGTGGTGCTGGCTGTGATCAGCAACAGGCACCCCTGAGCTACTGTGAGCGGTTGTAACCAGGATTGGCCACGCTGCAACAGTGCGGTCCCCACATGATCACATACAGGTGTTCATGAAACACCGATGTGTCTCATAGTCGTGGTTAGGCACCTAAGCGGTGAGACAAAATAGTGCTCTCTTGAGAAGGACTCGGCAAATATGAGGCAATGCAGCAATGCATGCAGGTATTTGGCAATCTTTAGTCACACCAGTGACCTCAGGCCTAGGTATAATGGTGCCCTGTGGCCCAAGCCTAGGGAGGCAGGGAGATAATTCTCAAGCTCCACAGGAGAGCCACCAAGCTGAAGTAGAAGAGTGCCCCTGGCATGAAAGAAAACATCCCCAAGCTGAGGAGGGGGGGGGGGGGGGGAGGCACCCCAAGTTCAGGTAGGACAATAGAGCCAGACCCAGGTATTGCTAGGGCATCTGAGATTTGACTGCACAGATAACCATGCCACAAGCCTGAGAAGGAAGAACATTACTCTGGGTGCAATAACTGCAACTGAGGAAGGATACCATTTGGCACCAATTAGTGGGCATCACAGAATTCTGAAAAAATATACTCAAGCAAAGGCCATGAATGATAATTCTAGCAAATGAAACCCTTCATTCACAAAATATTTCTGGTCTGGAGCATTGCCTGACCTTCCAACCCTACTCATTATGCTGAAAGAACCATCAAGGGCATTGCCTGCAGCATCCCTAAGAACTCAATAGTGCTTTAGCAAAAATTTTATCAGTGCAGTCAGCATATTTTATGATGAAAGCAAAATGTATTGATAATTTTTTCATTGTTTAGATTTCTGGGACCTATGTACAAAGAAGCACTTGTTGATAGGCCCCAACAGTGCATGCTATTTGCTTACCAAATACAATATGACATATGGGGATCCAAAATAGTATATACTTATGCACTAAACAGCCAGGCATAGCTCAAAAACTGTATTGAAAAGTGACCAAATCTGCAACAGTCCCAAAATCTCAAGATGTTCCATGACTGATAATGTTCATTGTGTTGTGCACATTGGGTCATTAGCTAGGGGTACAATGCATAGTCATTCAGCATCACAGGAGAATAATATGGCCAGATGTCATAGCTGGAAATGCAAGCCTTTAAAATGTAATTCACTTCTAAATTAGGCCATAGCATTGTCACTGTGCAATATATATAATACATGCATATAAAGTGGCATGCCTGCTTACTGAGGCTAATTTATGAGTAAAATCTACAAGTCCTCATGGTGGACCAATGAACCAGTACAACAAAATGTTCACCAAACTTAGCTGCTCTTGGGACCAGACTGGCTGTTCATTGGTAATGTTTACATGCAGCAGCACATTTAATTGGCTTTCATTCTATACCTACAGTTGAAAAAAACGAGCCCACACACAGTACAGAGACACACACACACATATGCCTAGATATGCAGTTTAAGTCAATGACTCATTGATTTCAATCAGATTTCAGTATTTAAGTAATAAATAGCATTAACATTTTCAGACTATTTGCACATTGATGTGTCATATATTCTACTAATGGAGAGCCCTGAAAAACTAAGCTTTAGAAATTTCCAAAAAACATGGTTGGTTGATCGCTTGCTGCAGAGTAATCCATAGGTAGTGATAGAAAACATGTGTAACTTATTGGTCAGCATGCAACTTTCAAATTAACACAAACCTAAGCTGGGCCAAAAACCCAGTATCATGCCTGCAGTTACAAATCTTTACATCTTACATCTCATCACCTTTTACTTTTACATCTTGTGAGGGAATACGTAGCAAAACACACAAACGCTTCCCCTTATTTAATCCAGAATTCACCCCCATTCCACGGGTACGCTGAGATCGAGACGTGGTCCGTTATAGGCTTACTTTTTACTACGAGGTCACACACGTTTGCTATATAGTTTTTCACCTAGATCTCGACTTGGCCCACCAAACATGTGACGTGTCCTGTTCTAGCTGTTATTGCCATATTTTGTCCCATTTGCGCGATATTTGGAAGAGCCGGTGTCTCGGAATATCGTCAACTAAATTAGATAAGGAGGACCATTAACATTCATGGATCCCTGCAGCGTGTGTTCCCCATAGTAAGAAATTTGCGAGCGTAATGAAGTGATTTCCCAATTTTGACTGTTTTGATAAAGTTTGTTCATTTAACCACACGAGCATCCACATTAACCACCAAGCCAGCACTGTGATATCCAGTTGTCCGCCTGCAAGGAGGCACCTGTCTTTGAGCCCGAAGCATTTTCATTCATAACACCGTACACTCTTGACTGTTGTCTCGAGCTCTTCATGGAGTGTTAAGTATAAAATTGATTAAGATGAACAGCCTCAGGGAGCGTTTGCTGTTGATAAATGTGCCTTCATTGTAGTCATTCACTGAGGCGTGGTTGTAAGTCGGTCGAATTCATTGCATGGCAGGTGCCAGCGTTTGGCATCAGAGTGAGCAAAGTAAGTCCGCCTATGTTCATCGCGGCCGGTTATTTGATGACTAGGACTTGGACAGCTCGACATGTATTTCCAAATTTTTGTCAGTTGTTTTGCTTGGTATCAGCACAGATAAACAATGCATTATACGTACGAGCCACTGCGCTCATAATTACCCACCACGGCTCTCAAGAGGTTACAAAACCTGGCCGCAGTCCGCAGTCCGCAGTCCCGAATCCTTCAAGACCGCAGCGGAGCCATGGAGATGTCAGCGTCAGACCGACGACCTCAGTCGGGGTGGGCATCCCGGCCAGATCATCATGAGCATCAGTATCCAAGAACAGCGCGTGATGGCATTTAATAAAAAAAAAACGCCCAAACTTTACTGCAGAAAAAATTACATAAAGGAGCCCGACGATAGTTATGCCACAAACCAAACAATCACGATACTGTACATAACACACAAATCAAACATGAATATCCATAGGCACACCTCTAACTTCACAGAGGCGCGCACTCACAAATTCCGCACGTGACGTACCTACAGCCCCCCTCCCTCCCCCCCCCCCCGAGTCCGCACACACGCGCTTCACATCTTGACACCGCCGAAGGCGAACTCCATTCGCTCCTGGGGCTCGACGAAGGCCAGCCAGTCGGAGGCGTGCGTGGGCAGCAGGCCCATCGACTGGCACTTGTACAGCGCCAGCCCGATGCTGGCCAGGATGCCCACCAGGTACACGAGCCGCTGCAGGATGGCGTGGTCGCCCTCGATCATCTTGAACGTTTGCTGGATGGAGAAGAGCGCCTTCACGGTGCGAAGAAGCATCATCCCGATCATCATGATCGGGAAGATCGATATGGAGTCGCCGGCCATGTACATGATGAACAGGTTCATGGGTATCTGTAAAGTGCGTAGACAGACATAAATACAAACGCCTGGCGTGTTCCTGGCCGTATCGGAGGCAAGGTGAAAATCCACCCGAACGTGTTGCTTAGTTCATGGTTCACCATTTGGTCTTGCAAGGGAGAGTGTATAATTCCGCAGCCACGTTTTGCTTTCCTTTTCTGACGCTGCCATCTCCAAGTTTAAACTCAAACAACAAATGATGAAAAATCACCGCACCAGCACTTCCATATCCACCCAACTTGGTAAGACAACGAACCGTGATCACCTTTTATCGTTTGGAATTGAAGCATGTCTTAAACTAAAAGATATGCGATTTGACACGTGAGGTATAAAGGAGATGTTCAAAATTCATGCGACTTTCTGAAATAATGCATCTCAGATCGCTATACGCAGACAAATCCATTACCAACCGTCCTTCCCGGTGACCAAGTTCCTGGGCTTGAAAGCGATAACCTTGGGGATCTCTCGTTTATGCCATGCATTTCACATTATACCATGACATCAGATGCGACGGCATAGACAGGCAACAACATCCCTCAGTGTCAAGCACCACCGCAGCAGCTCAATGGAGCAGCCCCGGACACTATGACCAGTACAGCGCAGAGGGGTCGGATCGCGCCCCGAACACCCCTGTTGTGGTTCCTCTTTGAGAGTCAATCGGCAACAGCCTGAACAGCCGGCCTGAAAGGGCGGCCGCCATGTTGCAACACTGCGAAAACGTTAAGTGAAAAATCGTCACTCGAACTGAAACTGACCTGTTTAGAACGTGGACTAAATCTTTGCAACAAGCTTCACTTGGTGAACTCAGGTTCCAAAACCATCCATGCAAAGCATTTTGCCAACTAAAAAAGAGAAAGAAGACATGCAGCTTGGACTAGAGCTGATGCCGTTGAGCCCGTTCAAGTAGCTCACTGGCTCAATGCGACTTCCATCGGCCAATCATGACTGAGAGCACAAGTGTGATGTCCCCGACTCGATCGGTTACGTCACGCGCACACCACGCAATGGCCTGAGTCCTGTTTTACAATTTTACAACCTCCAGCCCAGAGGTCTTCGACAAAAACATCGCGGAAGCATTATCGGCGTGCTTTCCGTAATAACATTAACATTCACACCTCTAGTCAGTTTCCAAGGTGAGACCCCTTTCTTTGCAACATACTGAACACATTGCCATGCTTTATGGTCGCCCCAATCAATATCACTCTTCATTATTACACTAACACCTTAGCAGTCTACGTAGACCCTTACACACTCTCCGCATCATTCATTTTTCCGCAACACTTCTGAGCCTGGACTTCAGTTTTAGAATAGGATTAAAGAACCTGGGCTTGCGCTCTCAATGCAGCTTTCTTCATTACGTGGATAGCTTTGATGAGCAGACCAATATACCTTCAGGCCAGGTCGAAATCGACTCCAAAGTCAACCGAATTTTCGTTAGGATAGGATGAAATCAATTCTTTTCACGCTTTTTTGTGAGCTAAGTTCATCAAATCATCGGCGAGACGACTCAAATAGAAATGTCAGCTTCAGGACACATTCGTGGCCTGACAGCAACGTGTGAACAAATGGATGATAGCTGGCTTTAACTATATCGCTTCAAAAACACGCCCTTTGTATGGGTTTTTAACATGCCCGTAGGACTGGTCACCTCTTAAACCGACGTCAGCGGAATCGACATCGTCGGAATGCACTTTGGAGTTCTTCCTTGAGTCGGAGTCGTAGTTGCCTCCAAGCGGTGCTGTGCTTACCGTAGTCAGTCAAAATGAATCTCACGCGCTCCGAGTATGAGTCAGGGAAGAGTCCGACGAGGAGGAAGCAAGCACAGGCCTGGTCATGAGCCATGCGACCCTCACCGGGTCATTTTCGCACGTACCAGGCCGGAACCTCGGCAGCCCTTCGCGCTATAGTCCATAATCGAGCTACAGCCAGGGGGAAACAACCCAGTAGATCGCTCCACGCCTGATACGTGCAATATCTAATTTCAGCTGTCCGAGTCAACCCGTGGCCTTCCAGGTCGGGTCAACCTTAGCCCCCAGACAGACGAGGAGGAAGTGTTGCAACTTTTCGGCGCACGGAACGGCACGGTTTCGGCCAGTGGACAATAGCGCGTTGTTAAAGGGTGCGTTCCACGTTTGCACGGGGTTTGAGATGAACCAGACATCTTGGAGATCATTCGGTGCAGATCGCAACCCTGCCCTTCTTCAGACCCCAACTCCTCTAGTTGCTGAGCTACACGCCGGCGCGAACATGTGCGGACTATTTTAGGGAGACTTTTTCAGGGTTACCCAGGGGCAGCTATGACGTCAAAATAACATCATTTAAATCCTGCCGCTCCATTAGCCACGCGGCGATCAAGGCCAACAAAATAAAATTGTCGGTCGTTCATATCTAGCGTTCGTGAGCACGCTTTCCAGAAATAACGGCCGTCAATTCGTCTTAAATCAGTGTTGTGTTTGATACGATGCCGTAATCAAGCAATGACGTATTAAGGATATTTATAAAAAAAGAGGCAATGTGTTGCCTAGAGCAGCCCTTTACCCTAAAAAGCATACCAATAATTACAAGTGGGCTTATGTCATCATATCTTTAATATCCCTAAATGTGGAACATACCATTAATCAAAATATCACACCACTTCCTACGCTGACGGTTATTGTTGTAAGGGCCTTCAACTTACGCTGCCGAAAAGCTGCACCAGGGCCTTTATTGCTTATTGCAAGCTCAGGAGCAGACTCATTGCTAAAAGAAGTCAAACCCACTCTAAGCTCAAGCAAGGTGATTGTGGGCACCTGACATCGCGTGACCTTGAAAAGTGATCAAAGGATGATACGCGACCAACGAGCTTGGTGGCCATCATTCCGCACCGGTTCGGGCTTAAAGATCTCATGCATTGCAACTGACCAGGGCAAACATCTGGCTCCGAATGACACCAGTTGTGCATGCCATGGCGCAGCCCCCACCAGTTCTGATTTTTATCATAGATCGCAACGCCCTCGTAGTAATAGTCACAAGGTGTTTAGACGAAGTGTGAAAGGTGAAGATCATACCAGTGGTAATAATTTCCCATTTAGCACCGACACGGACATTATCGCCTACAAACAGGTAATTTTATAAATGGGTTAAACTAGTCCAATGCCGATCTACGACTCATTTGTGAGAAAGACTGAAAAAAATGAGACTATTATGATCCATGTGCCAGTACAATCCACCCTCCGCCACCTCCTCATTCCTCCTTCATTCTGCGTCCTCGTGACGCCCCGTTTCTCTAAGGCCCTATCTATCCAGGGCACCTCCAGGGCAGGGCTGTATGTGCCGGCCATCAGTGGGATAAGTGCTCCTGGTGGGCCCCGTCCGAGCGCCGACCACATACCCAATATACGGGCCCCTGTGTCCAATCTGAACCAAACCAAAAGACACCGTCGTTTGCGCTACTTCACGCCTCTAACATTCTGCCCAATGCTTCGGAATGACCACGACCGACCGAACAAACCTCTCACAGCCAAGCTCCAAAACACCGACGCGTTTGAGCCAGGATAATGATTCTAGTCGTGGAATCCTCCTGCCTGTATTCTTAACATCACAAGTCAGACCATTGAAACCAACAGAACTTTCTGTCGTTCGTCACAGTTCCCTCGAAGTACCTTCATCTCTGACCTGAACTTCTGGGTCGAGACCGGATGGTACATTAGTCACACGAACGCGTTCCAAGACCGGGACAACCAGCAGGGATGAGGGGTGGATGGGTGCGGGGGGGGGGGGGCTTTACCCGACAGCCCGCAGGGCGCCGCAGCACTGAAACAACAGGAACATTGCCTCGTCTCACAAAGTTCAGAAACGACCCGTTCCAGCTAAACGCTATACGATAAAAACTGCGGAAGGCTTAATGTCCAGGGCTGTAAGTATGTAACCCAAGGGATGGTAGGTTTAAAAACAAAAGAGATTGGGGGTGCCAGTAATGTAGTGGTTAACGCGTCTGCGTTAACCACTGCGCGTCTGGGAAACCAGAGATAGGGGGTTCGATTACTCGCGGTGCCCGCCCTTCCTGCCAGGGTGAGACGCAGGGACGCCACATAGCCTCCACAGCTGAGTGTGTCGTTAAGCCCCAATGACAATAACGACGAGGGCGATCCGTTTTAGGATAGTACCCGTACACAACGCATCTGTACAGAGGATGACCAGATAAAGTACGTAATAAATGCGTCGAGGGGAGAAACGTGCTCACACCTTGTTTGATATCGCCTACAGTCAAGTGAATAACGTTACGACCCTGTCTTCTTTGCTACTTTGAGGATTACTTACACAAGCATCTCATTATAATGTATATATATATATATATATATATATATATATATATATATATATATATATATATATATGCATATGTGTGTACATGTGTACATAACATTCTGAGTCTTTTGCTGCTTTCTAGGTGCATATTGAAGGGTTTGTGTGTAAACTCTGTTTATTTCTATGCAAGGGCTTTATCTGGGCACGTTTAAGGTGCTTTTTGTGACTACACCCCTTAAGGATCAGTGGGCGAGCACAGGCCAGTCATGCAATAACATAGATTTAGCCAACATATGGGCACCGTTCCATTCTTCTCACAATGTAACCATAATTTCCAGGATGGGACGTACCATGGACATTTGAGATCCCTTCGATCCACAGGAGATCCGTCCCAGAGGAGCACCCGAACAGTGCGGGTCCATGAGGGGGGTCATAGCTAGACGCACTCGGGAATGCCTGAACAAAGCAGGGGCAGCGTCACCTTCTAAAAGGCAACGGGTAAATACAGGGGCCGAAATAAGATTACAGAAGCATATGATGTTTGCTGCTTTTTGCCATAAAACATTTAATTACTGCTGGTATAGTGTTCCTCACAACACATATTTCTATATCCCACCGCACGTACTATCAATATGATCAAGCCCGGCCACATTTCTTGGCTTTGGTAAGGGGAGACCTCGTCCGGGGCAGTTGTGGCCGTTTCGGAACACTGAAATGAGGGGGAGAAGTGAGCAGTAATGTATGACAAATGTTAATGATAATGTTGCTATCAGAGTTACAAACTAGAAAACTTTTTTTGAAAACAATCTGTAGATACTTGTTGGTCATTCTTGTCACATTGGGAATGTCACCATTGAGCATACTTACTTGATGCCTAATTTCCTGCCCGTTGACCCACTTTTACAGTCAGCCCTTCGCCACCTGATGAGCGGGGTATACAATGTCACACCAAGTCGCCAAAGATGCCTGTTTCTTTGCCATCAAGCACGAAGATCATCACACAAAGTATGGCTGTGCCAATATTCCAGGGTGTTACAGTTTGACACTTCCTGTGGTCCCTCAAACACCCTTCTGGAAAATGTTAATGGCTGGCTGGGTGAATGAGGGTAAACATATTGCATACCAAAAATTCTGCTGCCATTCAGAAGTTAAATTATCATGCATTGATCAGAATTTGCAGTACATTGCTATATTACCCAAAACTAAAAGAGTTTTTTGGAAAAACAATATTTTCATCAATCAAATCATCATCAAAAATCAGTTCTTTATGTGGCTTATGCACTTTATGCACTGACTCCAATAAATGCAGCAAATCCAGGAAATACAACTCATCAAGCCTGTCTGGCTTTGGAGGGCATCAGGTGAAGAATGAAGATTACTATCGATGGTCAGCATTAGCTGACTCATCTGTGCCCTAAACATGCATCACAAATTACCATATTTCTTCCTGAGATAAAAAAAACAAAATTTGAAGTGTGAGCAGCCTCAATATTGGAGAATTATTTCAAATTGTGATTTCATGTATACATGTGATGTGCGTCACTTCTTCATAGTGTACTTTCTCTGGGATTTGAGCCTTATGCATTTATGACAAGTTAACAGTTTCATACACTGAGCAGCAAGGATTACTAACTCAGTCTGCAAAACATAACAGATTTCAGGAGGCTCTCATAGGGCAGAAATAGGGCAAATATTCCTTTTGGGCAAGAATCCCTCACTTAGGATAGTAATTGGTATAAAAGTACAATTCATAAAGGCATGGACAGCCCAATGGCCAAATGAACCACCTTTGTTGGTTCATTCAACCATGATGCCCTGTCAGGCTGTGCTCAGCAGCTTATGCAATGCCTCATTGCCAGAGATCAATCAATTACCCTGACATGCCAAAAAATGATGCCAGCATGAGCACAACATCTTTTACTTTTGCTTTACCACAATTCATTTCAGCCAGCTTCAGCTGATTGCACTGGACAGGTGAACCCGGCACAACGATTGCAAGCAAAACAGGCCATTATCAGTGTTGCTGGTTGCAGACAACTATGAAGACCTATACCTACAAGACCAATGGTACCTGGTCTCAGCAGAAATGCTTGCAGCCCCATTTGGAGTAAGATCAGATTGACCCCATATCTTTCAACTGGCTGCCACCTTTTGGAGACCAGACAGTGAATGATCACAATGTTCTCACCTGCTTCAGTGGAGAAAGAGCAAGGTCCCATGCCCGCTTGATAACCAGGCTAGGATCATTAGCCTTATTCGCCTCTGTGGTCTGGTTTACTGACAAACTGTAGCCAGGTGGCGATGGCAAGTCCGCATTTCTCTCTTTGCCTTTAACCGTAAAATCTAAAGCCCAACGAGACCCTTTGCCTGCTACCGCCTTCGACATATTATCAGAAATGAAGACAGTTTCGGAAAACAGTCCTTCGACTGTTATAGCAACACGTCCGCCCCCACCCACCAACTAATTCGGGAACAGTGAAATGCGAAAGTGCGTAGGACTCAAGCCGATTCTGTATCAAACGCGCCATGACAGTAAGAAGCAGTTTCCATAAAGTACTACTATATTTATCCACGCAGTCAGCCCCCACTATTTAGGCAGTGCGCATACACCCTCCAAAACGTGTTTTGGAGGGTGTGTACGCACAGCCTATGATTTTTGCATTTGAAAACGCGTTAAGAATTGCGCTACGAGGTCCAATACCAAAAAAAGGCGTGACCTGGGTCATTTTAATTTAGTGACCTTCTCTGACCATTAAGAAGTCCGTGCAATATGTCTGCTGCGGCTACTGTTATCAAGATATTCAAAATACGTCTCAGAGAACATTTCATAAGGCAAGCTCACCAGAAAAAACAGGTCCGTTTTGACCTCTGTGTGACCTACCCACCCCAACCATTGGTCATGGAATGTGTCGTAATCGTAAACTGATTCTTTATCGCCTTAGAAACTGTTTCAGAGTACATGGCTTCGCCTAACACTCCGTTGTACCGTTCCAGAACACGGCCCGTATTTGACCTGCCATAGGTCAGCAGCCTTAGAAGGCACATCTGATATTCTATACAAAAAGATCCGCCATTCAATTAGCTATAGATATCCAAAGTCTGTCGCGGCTCCTCAGCGTCGTTAGAGAATTGTTCTGCAGACTCCTTCGGGGGGGGGGGGGGGCATATTGACCCCCAACCACGCGCGTGTTAATATGTCTCACTGCATGCGAACACTAAATAAATTCACGTAAACATTACTATCAAGCAGGCTCAAAACTGTCAAAACTGTAAATGTCGTGCATAATTTTGTTAGCCTGCGGCGCACTTAACTTGCTCTTCAGTGAAAAGCAAGCTTTTAATAGTGCCCCTCCCGTCGCGTAATCCTGTGTACGTCCCTGTAAAGAAATATAGCGTAACTTGGAACCACGAGTTCTCAAAACCATTGGGATATGCAATGCCGTTGAAAAGGCTTTACATCTGCCCTGTGAGAAGGAAAACATTTGATGTAGTAAGAAGAAAAACGTTCCCAAAAATGTTGGGGATACAAATACAATTTTGGGTCCAGTCTTTCTGTGCAATATCATATGCACAATGCTACTAATTTTCCGATGGGTTGGAGATGCAGCCTGCGGAAGCCTTCCATCGTACAGAAAAGCTACATGTGTACTGAAAATGATGCTCATTCATACATGCATACTTGTGTTTTATTCATAGCCTCACCACACTAGGAATATTGTATGTCAGAGACATGTCTACCATAATACATATTCAAAGCAAACAAATCACGCGATTATCACCGTACGACATGCAGCTAGCAAGACAGACCCCGCCCCCCCCCCCCTCCCCCCGCCGTAATGCAAAACTACTGGACCGGTATGGTAGGAGTTCGATATGGCGAAACACTGGAAAAACTTCAGCGGTGTATATGTATGTCTCAAATTACGTCATACAGCATGCATATGTAATTCTCACAAATGCTTGAAGCACGGATCTCGTAGAAATGCAATGCAGCCAAGCTTTTATATATGCCCTGTGTGTGGAGATGTCTATGGCGCAATTTTCAGCTTCAAAAATGGTCATCGCATTGATCGAAATGTTGACAAATCGACGAGCTTTCGCAATGATAAGACAGCACTACTAGCCTTGTCGCTCATAATACTTAACCTTCTTGTGATTTAGAGAAAGAAGGTATAGATATATTGATATCTCGGGTACGTCTTTAGCCAAACGAATGTCAGTAGATATCACTACCGAAATTCGTTTCGATAAAAGCATGTAGCCGAAACATCAATCAATCAATCTCTCCTTTCTCCCGGCTATTCTACGAGGAATAAGGCAGACAGTACCGTCTTACCTACATGCGTGATATACCTCGCAAATGCTCTTGCAATGACTATTGACAAACTAATGACAAATGACTATTGCAAGGGTTTCCCAGGTTACCAGTTTCCTTCGTTTTGTCAATGAAGAACAGGCCCCGACCACTTTGATACGATAAATGAGCCACCTACTGCAGTGACAGCCCCTGGTATGGTCTGCTCACCTTCAAACCGACAAACATCTGACACCAGCGATCCAAGTATTCAACACGGCCGTAGATCTTGAAGCGACCGGAGATTCGGAGAATGTTGCTTGCAATCTGCACTGACCATTAAGTTTGGAAAATCATACGTCAGAGCCAGCGCTCATATTCACAGACACCTCGGACTACGTAAACCCATTTGGGCTCTACGGACGGTTTCCTGGTCCAATCCCACCACCCGCAACGTGTGCCTCTTAACCGCATGAAGGATCCTGTGGCTATGCTGTGCTCCGAGCAGTGGCGGCGCAGTCCGCTGTTGTCGCACGCACCCAGGCTCTCTCGTGCTCTGTGAGCCTCGCACCAGGTCAAGCTCAGCTTGCTGGTCCACTTCCACTCGTCCTGGCGGCGCTCCCCTGGCGTCCACATGCGCAGGGGACCTTAAGTAGGCCAGTCTCTTCGGCCTCGGTCGCAGCTGGTGTTGTGGTCAGTTCGCGGGGGGAGAAAGGATCGGCTGTGATGGAAGGCTGTAAAAGGAGACGACAGTACCCATGTTAAAAGTTGGATTGAGGTGAACATGTAGTAATGACCATTCAGCATTGACGTGAAATAACAAGCGACATATGTGAGGAAAGTTTGGTCATTTGAATTATTTTCAAAATGATGAAGATGACGCAGCACAAAAAATAACAACGAAAAGCGACCAACGGTTAAGGTTCATCCGATCGGCGTTCGTGGTGCACAACCAATCAACGCATACATTCGCGCATTCAGCTGAATTCTGACAGCTGTTCTTTCTGATTGCACCAGCCACTTGAAACTGCTGCGCGCGTCGTGACGTTCATTCATTTCGGCGACAGGTTTTCATGCAATGTGCACGAAACATATGTCTAGTTGTAATCGGGAATCATAAGACCATCAGAATTTTACGACAGATGAGTGAATGTTTCCTTTATACTTGCAGCACATTTTCTAATACTCACTTTCATGTCAGAAACCCAATCACATTATTTCACTGTACAATGCAAATAATATGGATATTGGTAATGAGTATTCAACTGGCACCCAAACGGAGCTGACAAAGCTAGTTTCATGACGAAGGGAAAACTCATTTTACCGCTGAGATGTCAGACTGGAAGATCTTGATCTTGCCGACCTGAAGTTTAACTTCCCAGCTCGCAAATGGAGCTGAATGCCGTCGCCGAAATGGTAAGGGCCGGAGCCAGTGGTAGCAGACATAGAATGACAAGTCCAGGTGTAAGGAGACATCCGGGTCAACGAGAGCAGTTCTGATGTCGTCCGTTATAGTACAGAGGGCTTCGACGTCGAGGGAGGTCCGGGTTCTCCATGCACGACAGACTTAGAAGAAAAACTACTACCACTCTGTCCTTGTGCTCTGCGGGAACGCTTCTCAACGCGACGGCGATCAAAGAGGTCCATTGAGGGTAGCCGTGACTGTTGACCTTCTGTTCACACTCAAAGCCTTCACAAACAGCTGGTGACACACAACGGTAACCAATGACGACGGTCACGCCCCCTGGAACGCCAATTATGGGTGGCGGCTCCGATGAAGAGCAGCCTCAACGTCGGAGGCCTGAGCAAAGGTCTGAGCTGCCGGCCAGTCAGTATCTGGCGCGTGGGGCACCGTCATGTCAGGGTCCGCCCAGTTGTCAGGGTTCGTCCGTGTGTCAGGGTCCGCCCGGGTGCCAGGGTCCGCCCGGGTGTCAGGGTCCGCCCAGTTGTCAGGGTCCGCCCGGGTGTCAGGGTCCGCCCAGTTGTCAGGGTCCGCCCGGGTGTCAGGGTCCGCCCAGTTACCAGGGTCCGGCCGGATGCCAGGGTCCGCCCAGTTGTCAGGGTCCGCCCGGGTGCCAGGGTCCGCCCGGGAGTCAGGGTTCGCCCAGTTGTCACGGTCCGCCCAGGTGTCAGGGTCCGCACCGGATATCAGGGTCCGCCCGGATATCAGGATCCCCCAGTTGTCAGGGTCCGTACGTTTGTCAGGGTCCGCATCGGGTGTCAGGGTCCGCCCTGATGGCAGGGTCCGCCTAGGTGTCAGGGTCCGCACCGGGTGTCAGGGTCCACCTGGGTGTCAGGGTCCGCCCGTGTGTCAGGGTCCACACCGGGTGACAAGTCATGTGGCCAGGTCAGCTACAGCGGCGCCGGCCTGCTGATCTAGCTGGAGTCAACTAGCTTTCCGGCTTCGGGGCTTTCGGCTCGTTTAAAAGAACGTCAACTTCACTAAAATGCCTTAAGGAAAAAGGGTACTCATGAAAGACCATAATTCAAAAGCCAATTCAGCTCGGTTACGTGTATCTTATTGGAAGACGGTGGATCGGGAAGGTGATTTACAAGCAGTGCATTCGGCTGCCGGCGTCTGCACCTTTCTACCTGTTTGCCATCGCCCAATGTGTCGGTTCAGTCCACCGCATGGCGCAGCCGTGACTGGTTTCGAACAATGCGACGCCAGCCGCTGCCCGGTCGGCTACTGGCGCGCGTTTCGGTCTGAGACTGTCGAGATCTCTGAGTAATTCGTGAACGGCAGTGAGAGATCCGCGTCTGGCTTCGAACCTTCTGGTTGAGTTGTTTACGTTGCTAATTTCCCGTGCTGATGAAACCGGAAATCGGATGGCAGAGGTAGATTTTGGTCATAGCTCAATAGCGCGGCAAATTCATGCCTGGCCAACAGCTCAGAAGCATGTGCCGTGATAACATGCCGACAGAGCTAAAATAGGTGCTTGCTTTTGACACCTGTATGACTATGCAACAGTAGCTGCGAAGGTCCGAAGCACTTGAACGGCGCGACTGGTGGGGGCGGGTCCGATCGCTGGAGCTGCTCTTTCAGTTCAGCTGACGTCACCCTGCGGCCTCGTCCGTAATGCCAGCGAGAGCGGACACACCTTCTCATTCCGCCGTTTCAGAGCTCAGCAACAAGCGCTGATTCGCACGCGCCGCGGTCACCTGAGCCT